TCAAGTGGTAGAGCGCTCGCCTTGAGCTGAAGAGCTGAGGGACAAGCGCCCAGGCCCAGAGTTCAAGCCCCACAACCGCCAAAAAAAAAAAAAAACCCACAAAGAAGTGTGCATTGCAGGAAAGTCAGCTTGAGACCACCTCTTGGACCAACCCAAATAGCTGCCTCTGAGCTCTCAAAACATGTGGCTGGCTGGATGGCCCCTCCCATCCATCCAGGAGCACTGTATGGGGCGGGCTGGGCCACAGGCTTGTGACTGCTAGGGCAGACATAGCGGCAGTGTGTGCAGCTTCATGGGGTACTTAAGAATCCTTCCCAAGGAGGGAGGCCCTGGTGAAGAGCACTGTGCACCCCCATGAGGCAGCACTTAGCAGCGAGGGGAAGCAGCCTTCTGGCCAGGCAGACAATAATAGCCATGCTGGTCACCGTGATGCTGGCCTCAGAGGATGAGACTGAGCAGGGCCTAGGGCTCTGGGCCCAGGGCTCAGCGCACCGGCCTGGTGCTGCTGCTGGCCTCCCTGGGGCAGGACGGTTTGCACTTGTCTGTGGCCAACAGAAGGTTCGTGTTCTTCTGTTGCAGGGACGTGGCCATTGACACAGTGAAGACCGGCATGGGGGGAAAGGCTGGGAACAAGGGCGCCGTGGGCATCCGCTTCCAGTTCCACAGCAGCAGCTTCTGCTTCATCTGCAGCCATCTGACGGCCGGGCAGTCGCAAGTGAAGGAGAGGAATGAAGACTACCGGGAGATCACGCACAAGCTCTCCTTCCCTGCAGTGAGTGGGGCCTCCCGGCACCCTTCTGCCATCAGGAGCAAGATTCAAGAACCATAACCAGGGCTGGGAAGGTGGCTCAGTGGTAGAGCGCTTGCCTTGCACTCATGAGGCCCTGGGTTCGATTCCTCAGCACCACATAAGCAAAAAAGAAAAAAGCCGGAAGTGGCGCTGTGGCTCAAGTGGTAGAGCGCTAGCCTTAAGCTGAAGAGCTGAGGGACAGCACCCAGGCCCAGAGTTCAGGCCCCACTACCAGATCCAAAAAAAAAAAAAAAAAAGAACCATAACCACAGGGAGGGGCCCTGTCACCAGGGGCTCCGGGGCTGGGGGAGGGGAGGCATGGCGGCATGCCTGGGGACCCCAGGGGTGCACAGAGCCCAGCTCTCCCATGTGCTGGCCCCTCCTCTTCTCCCTTCTTGGAGGTTCTTAGGTGCCCCTGCCTTGCTTAGGTACATTTCCCTGGTTCTCTAATTCAGATGATAGAATGGGGAGCGAAATGAGTATGTCTGTGTCTGGCTCAAGAGTTTGTGAAGAACATTTACATCCAAGCACTATAAGATTTCATTTTCTTGGAGGAGGGATATATATCTTGGGGAGGTACAATCTTCACACATACCTCTGTTGCTCAGCTAAGAACTTTTCCTTTCACATCAGCCAATCATGACTAAGAGCCTGCATTTCCTGTCGCCACTACCACTGGCTGCAGTGCAGGCCAGACTGCCCTCTAGTGGCAGCCCAGAGGTTTCCATGTTGAAGCCATTAGACTGTATTTTCACATTTAGATTTTAACGTCCTCCCCATGCAAAGAGGATGCTCTGGTCACATTCAGCCTGGGATGGATGGCCAGGTCCCATCTCTTCTCTAAAGGGAGGTCAGACATGTCCTGTCCTGGCCAGAGTCTTCTGGCCTCGAAGGAAGGCTAGCTGGGCCCTGGACACCAGCGTCTTAGGCGATGGATCTGTTCTGTTCCCTGTGGGAACAAAGTCTGTGGACTGGGCTACCAAGTCTGCAAGGCAAAAACAAAAACAGCCAGGCGCCGGTGGCTCATGCCTGTCATCCTAGCTACTCAGGAGGCTGAGATCTGAGGATCATGTTTCAAAGCCAGCAGGAAAGGCCGTGAGACTCTTATTTCCAATAAACCATCAGAAAACCGGAAGCTGAGCTGAGCTGAGGGACAGTATCCAATCCCAGAGTTCAAGCCCCACGACCGACATAGAAACCCCCAAAACCTCTTTAGTTTTTCATGACAAGTCCTGATCCTTTCTACTATTTCTTGAGTTAAAAGAATAAACAAGAAAAGGAACCTGAAAATTTTAAATTCCTGTGTGTAGTTAAAAACAAAATCTAACTCTTTTGGTCAAAAAGTACTACATTGAAATGTTATACTTGGAGTACACCCCTAAATAATTAAAAAAATTATAATATGCCCCCCAAATAACAAAAGCATTGAGGATATCTCTGTTAATTCTCTATTCTGCTGATGTCCAGTGCAAGGGGAAATATCACATAGTGAGGAAACAAATGAATTTTGGAGCTGGGTTCAGATCTCTGTCTCTCTCTCTCTCTGTCTCTGTCTCTCTCTCTATCTCTCTGTCTCTCTCTCTATCTCTATCTCTCTTTCTTTCCCTCTCCCTCTCTCCTCCCTGCCTCGCCATCTGTGCCATCTGTGTCAGTACTGAGGCTTGAACTCATGGCCTGGGGAAAGCTGTCCCTTAGCTTTTTGGCTCAAGGCTGACACTAGAGTGTCACTTGAGCTACACCTCCATTAGGGAGTTGGGTGATTAATTGGAGAACTTTCCTGCCCAGGCTGGCTTTGAACCTCAACCTTCAGCCTTAGCTTCCTGAATAGCTAAGATTTTAGCCAGGAGCCACTGGCAGCTGCTATCATTGGAATCAGGGAAGCGCTCCCCAGATCTGAGCTCCAGGCAGCCAGGCTGGGTTGGGAGGAGGCCGTCACAGGGCATAAGCTCAGGGAAGTCTCGGTATTATGAGCGTTTTCCCACCTGGCTTTCCTAACACAGAACACTTCAGTACCTGGTGCCTACATGTTGGGATGTAGCTAAGAAACAGAGCCCCGCCTGGTTGTTGGGGTCGGGATTGTGTCGGAAATGGCAGACTAAATGTCAGTAGTTATACTTCCCATTAGAGTTAGAGTGCTGTGTCCAAACTATTCAGGAACCATTATTTAAGCGAGACATAATGGAAAGCCTAAAAGAAGCAGCTTAAGAAAGACACTGTTTAGCCGGGCGCTGGTGGCTCACGCCTGTAATCCTAGCTACTCAGGAGGCTGAGATCTGAGGATCAAGGTTCAAAGCCAGCCCGGGCAGGAGAGACCGTGAGACTCCTATCTCCAATAAACCACCAGAAAACCGGAAGTGGTGCTGTAGCTCAAGTGGTAGAGCGCTCGCCTTGAGCTGAAGAGCTGAGGGACAGCGCCCAGGCCCAGAGTTCAAGCCCCATGACCAACCAAAAAAAAAAAAAAAAAGAAGAAAGGAAGACCCCTCCCCTCCCATCTGCCAAACTCCATGGGCTGGAATGACTGTGGTTTTCTTTGCAACTTAGGGGAGAAACATTTTTTCTCATGATTACGTGTTTTGGTGTGGTGATTTCAACTATCGCATAGATCTTACTTATGAAGAAGTCTTCTATTTTGTTAAACGCCAAGACTGGAAGAAACTTCTGGAATTTGATCAACTACAGCTACAGAAATCAAGTGGAAAAGTAAGTTGTGCTTGCTCTGATGTGGGACGAATATGGAATATAGTTCCAATATGGAATGATTTCTCCTGTGTTTATGAGTGTTCACCAAATTTTCACAAGTGGATTGATGTTTCTGATACTGTAGAAAACTGCAGGACTTCTAAAGTTAGGGAAACAACAGTGTACACACACACTCACACCACACACGCACACGCGCACACATACATACACAAACAGCAGTGTGTACACACACACACACCTCTCCTATTGGCTAACCATATGTGGGGTCCATGTGTCTTCTCTGGGCTGGATCAGCCATCAGGGTAGAGATCAGCTGAGAGCATTCAACCCAGCAGGGGGAGCCAAGAGCACCCCAGAACTTGTGTCCTTCCCTTTATGCCTTTGGACACCCTGACTCTGCTGGGTCCACTGGTAAAAGGCTGTTTTACATTAGACTCAGAGATGCCTGCGGGTGGTGGGGATTTTGGAGTCAGATGAGGGGTGAGTACTGATGAATGAACCTACCCTACTCCTTCTCACACCTGCTCAGTAGCCAGACAAACCACTGATAGCAACTCAAACAACCACCTGTGATACTTGGGATTTGAATATTACTCATTCTGCTTTGGTGATATCTCTATTTCTTGTTGGTGAAAACACTAACAAATTCCAATAGTATATAATACTATATTATGTACCACTGTATATAATAACTTGCATACCAATTTGTGCCCTATACCATTTCGTTTTCATTATTTTTTGGATTAAGTAGTCGTACAAAGACAGTGCCACATCACAAAGCGGTTTATGAATAGGATGCATCTTCATCAGTGTTGCCTCTTCAACGTTCTCACCTGCCTGCAGCCCACTCCTTCCCTTACTTTCTTAATTTCGTGGAAAATACAGTGAATTCTTGACTGCATTCTCCCCCACCCCCATTCATTCGTCAGCCTCTCAGCCCTTGGCCCCATTTCCCCTTTTGGATGTACCCGTTCCCTAGCATTGATTTTGTTGGGTTTGACCTAGTCTTTCTAAAAGATTATACTACTTGAGCTCTCCATAGAGTCTATTATACTTCACTTAATTCACTTGTAACCACTTGCATACCACCCAATGTGCTTACTTATAGATTTATGAAGGTAGCCATGCAACCTGTTTATACCCATTTTATGGTCAAGGAAGACTGAAAGTAAAGTCAAATTGCTTACCCCGCTGACAGGGCAGGTATCACAGGCAATAGTTTGGTCCCAAACTGTCCAAGGTTTCCATCCATGGCCCCTATGCAGGTTCCTAGGGGAGCCTCAGGCTTAGGCATAAGTTTCAACTATGGAATCTGTGCTTCTAGATCATTCCAGCAGCCTTCAGATGTCCCCAATTATCCTCTCTTCCAGTGGCTACTGTTACTTATGTCAATGTCTGTTAGACTCCTAGATGGCTGGGCCAAGACAGGGAGGTGCATCGAAATGCCATTGCCTTTGAGAGTGGGGCCGGTTATATCTGGGGAGAGGGAAATTAAGGAGTCTCTGCGAGTAAGACCCTGCTCGTCCTTGGAGGTTTGCTCTGCCTTTGCACCTCCCAGTGCCTGCTAGGGCACAGATGGCCGAGAGTGGACGAGTGGACTATACTAGACTTCCCGAAAAATGTCTTTCTTCCTTCTTCCTACCAATAGTGTCACCCCTAGCCAGATCCAGGGTTAAACAGACACAAACTTGGCTTCCACTCTAAGCTTCTGTGGGCTCAGTCTATAAGTACTCACTGCCTTGTTGGGTCCGAGTTAGGTGCTGTGTGGGCCTGGGAATCCCCAGCTGAGCTCTTCTCTGTCCCCCCGGGGGAGGAGGTGACAGCCAGCAGTGGGGAATGCAGGAGGGACGTGCATTGGCAGGGCATGTCTGTCAGCCAGAGGAGTGAACGTGCTAACTGGAAGGCAGTTATGCCTAGTAGAAGACATACCTGCAAATGTAACATAGGCTGTGCTACTTTTTAGAACACTCTGGAATACGCCTTTTATTTTTTCTTCAGGTGACCTATGTCTTTTTTCTTTCCCCTCCCCATAGATTTTTAAAGACTTTCATGAAGGAGCCATTAATTTTGCACCCACCTACAAGTATGACGTTGGCTCTGCCGCCTATGACACAAGCGATAAGTGTCGCACCCCGGCCTGGACAGACAGGGTGCTGTGGTGGAGGAAGAAGCGACCCTTCGATAAAACGGGTGAGCGCACGGGGCCACCCCAGACCAGGTATCAGGGGCAGTCAGCCACCCAGCCCGAGCGCTGCGTGTAAATCACATCACAGAATGACATTCTGACATTGGATAAGTGCAATAGGTGCCAAGGCCTTCAGAAGCTGCCGTGTGGGGACCCTCCCCCCACCCCCCGCTCTGGCCGCAATCTGGACTGTGACATGTAAATGTGCCAATGCTGCTCTCCCCACCCACGCCACTCGCTGTGTGCCCACCCCACTCTCTGCTGATTGTTGGAGGAGGAAAGAGGAGCAACTATTGGGGTGCTTCTCCTCCATTCTCATGTCCACTCAGATGCCTGATGTAGTCTTGAACTCTGGGCCTGGGCGTTGCCCCTCAGCTCTTCTGTTCAAGGCGTGCACTCTACCACTTGAGCCACAGCCCCACTTCCGGTTTTCTGGTGATAAGAGTCTCATGGACTTTGCTCAGGCTGGCTTTGTACCGTGATCCTCAGATCTCAGCCTCCTGACTAGCTAGGATTACAAGCGTGAGCCACCAGTACCCAACTTTGATCTAGCCTATTTTTGTTCAACTAAACTCTTACCTACTTAAAGACCCAGTTCCAAATTCAACATGCACCAGACACAGGAAGAATTTTTTTATATTTTTTTATTTTTATTTTTTTTTGGGTCCGGTCATGGGCCTGAACTCTGGGCCTGGGCACTGTCCCTCAGCTCTTTAGCTCAAGGCTAACGCTCTACCACTTGAGCCACAGCGCCACTTCCGGCTTTTTTTCCTGCTTATGTGGTGCTGAGGAATCGAACCCAGGGCCTCATGCATGCAAGGCAAGCGCTCTACCACTGAGCCACCTTCCCAGCCCATAATTTTTTTTATTCTAAACATATTTTTTTATTGTGAAAATACTGTACAGAGGGGTTACAATTACATGGGCAAGATAATGAGTACATTTCTTATCAAGCATTGTACCCTCCTCCTTTGTTTCCCCTACTCATCCCTTCCCATCCTCCTCCCGTCCCCCCAACCAAAGTTGTAAAGTTCTTTTTTTGACATAACGACTTGTACATCTCATTGTTGCAATGGGTCCTCCTATGTCCCTGTTTTAACGATTTGTTTTTTTCCCTTCCCCTCTACAAACTATACCAACATCATATACAGTGTAAGCAGGGGTTATACTGTGGGGGAGGGACATACAAAGCACCAAAGAAATCATCTTATAAATATGTTAGAAACAATTACATGAAAGATCTTTCTCTCTTTTTTTTTTGTCAGTCGTGGGGCTTGAACTGTAGGCCTGGGCGCTGTCCCTGAGCAATTCAGCTCAAGGCTCATGCTCTACCACTTGAGCCATAGCGCCACTTCCAGTTTTCTGGTGTTTTTTTTTGTTTGTTTGTTTGTTTTTTGGGGGGTCTGGTTGTGGGGCTTAAGCCACAGTGCCACTTCCAGCTTTTTTTTTCTTTTTTCTTATGTGGTGCTGAGGAATCGAACCCAGGGCCTCTGGCATGCAAGGCAAGTGCTCTACCACTGAGCCACCTTCCCAGCCCTTTTTTTTTTAATTGTGATTAAGTGATTACATAATTTCCCAAATTTCACATTATTGTGGGATAGTGATGCTTAGTTAAAGTCACAAACACGTTCTAACTTTCCTGGAGCAAATTGTCTATCACAGTCTATAACATATAACGGTGTACACATATACACCATACATGTGATCAGCAGCATGGGGTTATTTAGTAGTAGTTCGACCAGATGAGTGGAAGTTCTTTGTTTCTTAAGTCCTGTTAATTTTGTCCTATCACCTAACATTTTGGATTTAACATCCACTTATCAGGGAGACCATGTACCATTTGTCTTTTTGTTCTTGGCTTACCTCGCTCAACATGATTTCTTCTAGCTCCATCCATTTCCCTGCAAATGTCATTATTTTGTCCTTTCTAATGGCTGCATAATATTCCATTGTGTATAGATACCACAATTTTTGGATCCATTCATCTGTGGTGGGGCATCTGGGTTGTTTCCATATCCTAGCTATTGTGAACAGTGCTGCAATAAACATGGAGGTGCATGTGTCCTTGTATATTGGTTACAGGAAGAATTTTTAAATCAGTGAATTCTCTCTCTCTCTCTCTTTCTCTCCATATATACATATATATACATATATATATATATGTATATGTATTTTTTTTTTGGCCATGGGGCTTGAACTCTGGGCCTGAGCACTGTCCCTCAGCTCTTCAGCTCAAGGCTAGTGCTCTACCACTTGAGCTATAGTGCCACTTCCAGTTCTTTGGTGGTTTTATTGGAGATAAGAGTTTCATGGACTTTACTGCCCGGGCTGGCTTTGAACCTTGATCCTCAGATCTCAGCCTCCTGAGTAGCTAGGATTACAGGCATGAGCCACCGGCGCCTGGCTTTGTCAGTGTGTATTTTGAATGGTTATTGCTACCCAGTGGGAAGTGAAGTTTATTAAACTTGGAACTTCTGTAATCTGGTAGTTCTTCACTGTAGGAGCAATGTCTGCTGAGATCTCAAAACCAGGAGATACATTTGCAGGTGAAAAAGAGAAACTTTTCCTTGAGAGGAGTCTGAGAACACCTTCATGGCTCCAGGCCATGGGGTGAGGGGGGCAGGCAGAAGAGTCTGACTTCATGGACTCTGCCGTGTCTCCATGCAGTGGCTACAGGGGATCCACTACTGCTGGGGTCCTCTGGAAACCTAGAAAACTGACAGGACGCCCCAGCCCAGCCCACTCTTAGCCTGCCGTAGGGAAGGGAGACCATCAGGTCATTATTACTGTGGGCACTGACAGACCTCAAAGCAGTCCATGCCCAGGTTCAGGTTCAGGAGAGTGAGCCTGAGCCATGAGGTACTTGGTGACAGATCTCTGTCTGCTGCCGATATTTATAATTACATCCATGTATGATTTTGTTCCGTGAGCAGCTGGAGAATTCAACCTCCTAGACAATGATCTAGATGGCAGCACCCAAGTCAGGCACACATGGTCTCCTGGTACCCTCAGGTACTATGGCCGCTCGGAGCTGCAGGCGTCTGACCACAGGTAAGATCCTGCGGGGTCAGGCAGTGCCCCCTCCTTCCCGCAGGCAGCCTCATGTCGTGTGTGTGTGTGTGTGTGTGTGTGTGTGTAAAATACACAGTACAGAAGAAAGAGGAGGAGCAAAAAATCTGTGCATCCAGCACTACTTAGTACTTGTTAGCATTTTGTCGTTGCTCCATATAGTCAACCGCATCATGTGTGAGAATTTCAGTTTCAGAGCTGCAGTGGCGTTGGTATAGATCTGGCTTACTGGTTTGTGACCCATGGAATTAGCCCATTCACCTATCGGTGAAGCATTTCATTTGCATTTCCCTGCTGGGAATGCCATAGGATGTTTACATATTGGATTCAGGGCTGTTCATGCTCTGAGTGGCTGGTATGTCCCTGGGTACCAACACAGGAGGGAAGGGACCACAGGCGGCAGGCAGGTGGTGTCTGGAATCAGCCTATGGAATAACTCCTGAGAGATGTCAGGGTAAGGATGGCATCTCTGCTTTGTGAAAGCAGCAGGAATTGGCACCAGTGGCTCATACATGTCACCCTAGCTACTCAGGAGGGTCACAGTTTGAAGCCTGCCCGGGCAAGAATACCTGTGAGATTTTTTTTTTTTTGTCAGTTGTGGGGCTTGAACTGTGGGCCTGAGTGCTGTCCCTCAGCTCTTCAGCTCAAGGTAAACGCTCTACCACTTGAGCTACAGCACCACTTCTGGTTTTCTGGTTGTTTATTGGAGATAAGAGTTTCACGGACTTGCTTGCCTGGGCTGGCTTTGAACTGCGATCCTTAGATCTCAGCCTCCTGAGTAGCTAGGATTACAGGTGTGAGCCACTGGCCCCCGGCCCGTGAGATTTTTATCTCCATTAAACACCAAAAACCACAAGAAGAGCTGTGGCTCAAGTGGTAGAGTGCCAACCTTGAGTGAAAAAGCTAAGGGAGTTGAAGTTCTGGTATCTGCACCAAAGGGGCAGGGGGCGGGGAGAGCTATAACTAAGACTTGGGAAAGACAGAATCTAAAGCTCAGGCTTACAGGTGGACATGACATCTTCCAGAAGTGTGGTGGTGCAGGGCGGGTGGAGGCTGCGTGTGATGCTGCCGAGGTAACAGTGCTCTGCTCCCTCCCTTTCTGTCTGATGCAGACCCGTGTTGGCCATCGTGGAGGTGGAAGTGCAGGAAGTCGACGTGGGTGCCCGGGAGAGGGTTTTCCAGGAAGTATCCTCTTTCCAGGGTCCTCTGGATGCCACCGTGGTGGTAAACCTACAGTCACCAACCCTAGAAGAGAAAAACGAGTTTCCCGAGGACCTGCGCACTGAGCTCATGCAGACCTTGGGGAGTTACGGGACGACGTTCTGGTCAGGTAACCTCCATCTCTCGGATGTGGGGACCCATGAGCACCCCGCCCAGTCCCGGCTCTGGCGCTGACTCTGCCAATCCCCTATATTCCAGAATCAACCAAGGGCAGATGCTTGTGACCTTTGCCGACAGCCACTCAGCTCTCAATGTCCTGGACGTGGATGGTATGAAGGTAAGTGAAGCGTGTTCACCGATGGAGGAGGGCTGACTGATTTCCACATTTATGTGGCCCTGTCTTCTCTTCCCCTCTGGGCCTGGTTACCCCCCAAGATGTCTGTGTATAGCCACTACATAGGGGAGGACCTGGGATCCTTCAGCTGGGTCTCAGGTATCTTGGGACAGTTGCAGGGGCCTGGCGTGTGGCTCCCGCTAAGTTCCTGGCACATCGTTGTACATGCCTAATGCAGAAGCCTTTCCGTCCTTCCCCTGAGCTCCTGAGTTTTAGAGCATGCATCTCCTAGGTGGTTCCATTCTGACAAAATCTTGGTTTTAAATTCTCATGGAATGAAAAGCTGGTGATGGTAGCTCAGCGTCTATTTACCCTAAATGTGTAGGAGAGCCATGCTGAACATGTCTGGGTCTCAATCTGGGCTTTTCTTGGCAAGAGGCAGAGATTGATTGGCCTTGGCACCTCATGTGACCAAAGGAAGCTGTCGTGACTCTTGTTCGCCTCTCTTGCTGTCCGTCCTCCCAGGTGAAAGGCAGAGTGGTGAAGATTCGGCCGAAGACCAAGGACTGGCTGAAAGGCTTGCGAGAGGAGCTCACTCGGAAACGGGACAGCATGGCCGCTGTGTCCCCCACTGCCAACTCCTGTTTGCTGGAGGAAAACTTTGATTTCACCAGCTTGGACTATGACTTAGAAGGTTAGTGACCCGCGGGGAGAGGGAGAGGCAGGTAAGCCGTTCCTTCAGCAACAGGCAGGTGACGTCCAAGATCCTTCCTCAAACCCCACCTCACAGAGGTTAGGACACTGCAGCATGGCTGGTACATCTGTGGTGGGTGTGTTCCTGTGTGGGGAGATGGGGGAGGGGGGAGTGGAGCGCTATATGGGCTGGCATTACTGGTGGCTCTGAGGCTATCCGGGCTGCAGACACGGGTGGAGGTGGGGACTGTCCCCAGAGACAAGGCTCACATGGCTCCTGGGAGATGGCTTCCAGCATCCTTATGCTTGTTGCTTTTGCTTCCCCGTGACCAAATGCCTCCATCAACCATGGAAGAATTGTTCCAGAGCCTGCACTCCATTGTCCTTGGCTGCCTGTGAGGCAGAGCATCCTGGTGGTGGGACACGTGACAGAAGTCACTCGCCCCATGGCAGACAGGAACCAGACAGAACACGGCCATGCTGGCCCTTTGGGCTATCTCCTTTCCCTGCTTTATTCCGTTTGCTCTCCTAGCCTATGAGATGAGCCATCCACATTCAGGGAGGGTCTCCTCCTGATTTAGTCTCTCCTGGGATGCCTCACAGTGCTCCACAGGGATGTGTACTCCCCTTCTGTGCCTCCCAATCTGATCAGAACTAGCCAGCGCCAGCCCAGGCAGGCCTCTTGGATGAAAGGCTGGGCTGCTGTGTCCGAATGAAGTGTTTTCCCCAAACTGTGATTATTCTGCTTCCTAGGGGATGTCCTAGAAGATGACGACGACTATTTGGTGGATGAGCTCCGGCAGCCTGTGGTCTCAGACAGTGAGCTGGGCAGTGACGAGCCCCCGGATAACCATGGCTCCGTGGCGCCTGTCAGCAAGTCACCTGCACTGAGGAAGAAGAAGCAACATCCAACGTACAAAGGTAGCTCACCCCTCCTTTTCTCAGGAGGGGTGGGTCTCAGCGCCAGTCCAGCCTGGGGGCATGGGAGGATAGAACTGGGCTCTGGGGGGAATCCAACCTCCACCCTCTGATTTCCTAGGTTTTCATCTCTTACAACTTGTACACTTGGAACACACCAGATTTCACATCATCATGTTTCCTTTGTGTATGAAAGTAGCCACAGTTCTCCACTGGTTTTACATTTGTGACTTTCCCCACCCTCAAAAAAAAAATTTTTTTTTTTTCTGGCCAAGTGCTATTGGTTCATACCTATAATCCTAGCTACTCAGGAGGCTGAAATCTGAGGATCGGCATTTGAAGCCATCCTAGGCAGGAAAGTCCATGAGATTCTTATCTACAATTGACCACCAAGAAAGTCAGAGGTGGAGCAGTAGGGCACTAACCTTGAGCAAAAATGTTCAAAGACAGGGTCCAGGTCCTGAGTTCAAGGCTCATAACCAATGGAAACATTTTTCTGATTCAACCTCTTAAGAAATATCAATATCTATGTCTGGATTATATTATTATATTTGATACAGTCATACAGTAGCATAATATAATTTTATTTCATTTATTTTATTTTTTGTCAGTTGTGGTGCTTGAACTCTGGGCCTGGGCACTGTCCCAAGGCTAGCATTCTACCACTTGAGCCACAGCACCACTTCTGGACTTTTCTGTTTTTTATGTGGTGCTGAGGAATTGAACCCAGGGCCTTATGCGTACCAGGCAAGCACTCTACCACTAAACTACCTTCCCAGTCCCCATAATGTCATTTTAGAATTAAGAGGAACTAAATGGTCATGTGGACTGAAATATATGCCATGCACCAGTGGCTCACGCTTGTAATCCTAGCTACTCAGGAGGCTGAGATCTGAGATTGAAGTTCGAAGCCAGCCTGAGAAGAAAGTTGGTGAGACCCTTATCTCTAATTTACCATTAGAAAACCAGAAATGGTGCTATGACTCAAAGTGGTAGAGCACTAGCCTTAAGAGGAAAAAAGTCAGGGACAATGCTCAGGCCCTATACATAGATAGATAGACAGATAGACAGACAGACAGACAGACAGACAGACAGAAAGATAGATAGATAGATAGATAGATAGATAGATAGATAGATAGATAGATAGATAGATAGATAGATAGATAGATAGAGGTTTTTGTTTGTATATAGAGATAGACATAGGTATAGATACATATGTATATATCTTTATATGGTTTTGTATATGTGTTTACGTATATGTATATATAGTTATATATCCCTGAACCAAATGATAGTGATTCTTTCAAATAAATTTAACTTTCTTTTTAAGTTTTATTTTTAAGTAGTATACAAAGGGATTTCAATTGAACACGTCATCTAGATCAGTGTCACCCTTCCATCACTCACCTCTATCTTCTCCAATCCTGTCCATCCCTTCAAGTTACATAGTTCAACTTTTATATGAGGTACATTGACTATAATGACTGTTCAGATAAGTTTTAAAACTTTTGAGAACCAGGTGTTGATGGCTCACTCCTGTAATCATGACTATGCAAGAGACGGAGATCTGATGATTGTGGTCCAAAACCAGCCCAGGCAGGAAAGTCTGTGAGACTCAGCTTCAATTATCCAGCAAAAAGCCATAAGTAGAAGTGTGGCTCAAGTGAAAGCATCAGCCTTGAATGAAAAAGCCAAGGGATAGCACTCAGGTTGTGAGTTTAAGCCTCCTTCCCCCTATACAACAAAAAACAAAACTCATGAATACTTCATGGCTGGAGGGAAGGCAGTTTGTATTTGAGCATCACACACATGCTGACAGTGTTCCATCCTAAAATGCCCAAACTGCCTCTCCTTGAGGGTTATTGTGTCCCCAGTGGAAGGCAGCTTTTTCAGGAGGTGCAGGAGCTTAGCTGTGTGTCAGAACACTGGAGCTGGGGCTGGGAGCAGAGAACAGGCTAAACGGGCCTGAAGGTGCTTCCAGGGAGAAGGATGCCTGGCTAGGACAGACACCACGATACCATGTCCCTTGGGCCAATCAGACGGACCAGTAGCTTGTCTCTCTTGAGCCATCAGGAGTAGTGGACCTTACAGGTGGCTGAGCCCATCACGGAGATTTGGATCTGGCAGGGATGAGGTGATACCTTGGAAATGCGGCATTTCGTGAAGCTCCTAACCAGGTCTGTGGTTGTGGCCTTAGTCAGTGTGTGGAGGGTTCCGTGCAGGTCTGCAGTCGTGGCCTTAGTCAGCATGTGGAGGGGTCCAGGCAGATCTGCGGTCGTGGCCTCAGTCAGCATGTGGAGGGGTCTGTGCAGCTTGTGGCAGCGGCTCCGGCCTTGGTCTGGAAGCGGCAGTAGGCGGCATGTGCACTTCAGAGAAGAAGGTGGCCTTTTCTGCAGGGGTGACCATCTTCCAGGTGGCCTCTGGAAGCCAGAGCAGGCGAAGTGCGAGTGCTCATCTGAATGAAGAAATGGGTAGACGTGGGCATCCAGAGGGCCCCTCGGGCTGCGGGGTGTCCGCAGATGTGGGCTGAGCTGCCGGAGTTGGGCATGGGAGGTCTGAGCCAAGATGACGTGAGAAAGGGCTGTGCCAGGTCCCGGGGGAGATCGCGCGTGTCCCGGGTGTCTGCGTCCTCACAAGAGCAGCTCCTCCTTGGCCCCCGGGGGCTGCACGGGACCAGTCCCTGAGGCGGGCCGTGGGAAGGGGCTGGCAGAGGCTTGATGTGTTTAGAATTTCAGGATGGCAGGGAAGGGAGCATCTCCTGTTTCTAACACGGGGGTCATGTTTTAGAGTAGTGAACAGACGCCATGTCTTCCCTGAGGTTGGAGAATCTCTAGGGGTGCCGGTTTCCCACTGTCTCCTCTGCTTTGTGTGGGCTCTGGCTGATTAGACCAGAAGGAACACCTACTCTTTATTCAAGGATGGCAGTCTCTCTCAAGGCTGGCAAACACACCGTGTCCCCAGCTCAGTGACTGTTCCGAGCAGGCACTGGGTGTCCTCTGCTCCGGTGGAGAGCGGTGGGGTCCCGAGTGGCTCCCCAGCCATCTACCCACTCTGGTCAGCGCCCTGACTAACCGTCCCGTTTGGAAAACACCATGTTTCTCATCCCTGCCGTGTCCTTCAGACGATGCTGACCTGGCGGAGCTAAAGCAGGAGCTGGAAGCCATGGGGGATTTCTGCCACCGTTCTACAAGCAGGTCTCTGTCCGTCCCCAATAGGTCCCGGCCACCTCACCCACCGCAGAGACCCCCCCCTCCAAGTAAGACTTCGCTTGCTTTGGGCTTGCCACCATGCCTGCTGGGAATAACCGCGCACCTCCAGCTGCTGAAAACATGACTCTAAACCCACTTCCCACCGCTGAGTCACCCCCATGCCTTTCCCCACCTTGGACTCTCTTGGTCTAAATCCAGGGCACATCTGGTCACAGAAGTCATTGGGTTTCTCCTGGCACATGAAGTGAGACCTTTGGGGAGCTCTGTGTATCGTATAGCTCTGCCTTCGCTTCCTCCTCTTTTCAGTCTGCAACCTTTAGAGTGGAAAATTGAGCTGGGCATGGTGGCGTACATCTGTAATACCTCTAGAGGCAGAGGCAGGAAGATCAGAAGTTCAAGGCCAGTCTGGGGTACATAGCAAAATCTAAAAGGAAAAGTAGAGCGGAAAGAGAGTTTTGCAGTACTGTGAGGGAACTCTCTAGCTTTTCAGCACTGGATGCTTGCTTCTCCGCTGGCTGCCCAGGCCTCCGTTTGCTCAGTAGGGGTCTGACACCTACACCGCTAACGTGCATGCCTCTAGGCACGACCTCGGCCTCCTGTCCTGCTGTCCCTGGCATGCCTGAAGGTTGGAATAAACCCTGCCTGAGTCTCACAGGATAATGGTTTTCTTCTGGCTCTTCAGAGAATGCTTTTCCCACCAAGCTTGCCTTACTAATCTCAAAGTAAAGTGTGACATGCTTTTGATCTGTGTACTTCTTCCTCCAAAACCATGACAGTCAGACATGAACTTTCTGAAGCTGTTTCTTTCAGAATTGAGTTCAGGATTATTGCTGTCATAATAATCCCTTGCACACCAGAAATGCAGAACTCTCAAAGCCAATTTTTTGCTTTTTGTAGGTCATAACTCAAAAAAGCAAAATAAGATATAATAAATGAAAATAACACAAAAATAAAATTCACAAGCCAGACACGGTAGCACATGCCTTCTCCATACTTGGGAAGTAGAAGCTGGAGGATTGAGTTTGGGGCTAAGCGAGACTCCTTCAGAAGTAAACAAAAGTTTTAAAAAGAAAATGTATAAATCATGGGTTTCTTACAGAAGTTTATAGAGAACTATAAACATTTAAATTTAAATTTACATGACTACCTGTTAATAATAGTTAACAAGAAGGCTTCTCCCTTTTCCAGTTATGTATATGTATATCTATACACAATTTAAAAAAAATGGTTTCAAACAAAATTGGTATTCGTTTTGTTTGGTTGTTTGTCTTTACTAAATGTGTCTTATTTTCTGTGTCATAAAATATTTTAAAATGCAACTTGTTGCAGACTGTCAGCATAGTTGATTTCTCTGATTTATAGGACTTCAGACATTTGAAAACTTGGTTCTAATAATAGTTGTATGTTTTAGCCACTTAAAAATCAAAAATTTTAAAGCAGATTAGAATTCTCCATAGTATTAGATTTAAAATGACATCCAAACCTTGCTTCTTCAGAGAAGCTGCATAATAGGTCAAGCTTTAGAGAATCTAAAGACAAAATCTGGGGGAAGGGGGCAGTGTCAGCTCTGGAGACTAAACCAGGACCACCTTCATGCCACGCAAGGGCTTTACCTCTGCATACCCCAGCCTCAGCCTCCCAGTGGAAACTCTGGAGGTTCCCGTAGCTCTGACCTGTGGGTCAGTGCCATGGGTACCACGTGAGCACGCACACCTCACTGTCCCTCCTCCGGCCTTCTTCCAGCTAGCTGGCAACTTGTGCCAACTCTCAGGCTGACTTTCTGCCTTTGTTCTTTTTTTTTTTTTTTTACAGCTGGTTTAATGGTGAAAAAGTCAGCCTCTGATGCATCCATCTCCTCCGGCACCCACGGGCAGTATTCCATCTTGCAGACAGCTAAACTTCTGCCCGGAGCACCTCAGCAACCAGTGAGTTCTTCCATTTTAGCATCCTGCTTCCAGCAAAGTGCTCAGGCTCTCAAACGCAGTGGACTGTCCCTAGGCCCATAGGATTTGTCTTTTCAACAGTGGTGCAGTCCATGACTTGAGTCCTCTCCCTGCCCATCTCCTTAACTTGCTACAACTCCTTTACTCCTTTGTAGGCTGTAACATGCATGCATGTGTGTGTGTGCATGTGTGTGTATGAGGCACACATTTCCAGTCCCTCCTGTGTCTCATGAATCTTGCCTTTGCTTTTGGTCTATAGAACATTGGTTGGTAGAAGGGAAAAAAGGAGAAATTGAGATTGCTTTGGCCATTCTAGTCGAAATGGCTAAAGAGAGGCCCACAGGACCTGGGTAATGAGTTAGAGCAGCGCAGCAGGAGGCCACACTAAGAAGATCAGGTCACAGGGGTGGCAGAGGGAGCGTCCAGGACCCTCTACCTCTCGTGGAAGGGTAGGCGACAGGTGGAGGTGAAGGAGGTGAAGCTGTCTGGGACGCTGTCCACCACCTGGAGAGCTGGGCTGGGCAGGTACTTTGGGTCACGGCACGTGTAGGGGTGAACCAGATGCCAGTGCGTCTGTGATGAGGACAGGCCTCTGGTGGCCAGGAGAAAACACACTTTTAGGAAGCTGTGTACCTGGAAGATGGTGTACTCAGGAAGGCCATGAAGATGTGGCCTCCTCCGCTCTTTTATCTGGTTATTGAAAAGATGAAAGATTGTTTGCCCTCATGACTGGCAAAGGCCATTAGCTCTGACCATTAGTGCTTTTCTTCTTGAAATGTGTTTCCATCCTACAGAGAAATTAATGGCAGGGAGTGGTTTCTGTTTTCAAATCGCCGTCCGATGGGGCTCTGCATGGCTCACGCCCATGTATAGGCTACTTAACACCTGCACAGACCGGCGGGGCATGCGCAGTTTAGGCCTGACACCCACTCAAGTTCATATGCTTCTCTTCCCCATTCTGTCCTCAAGCCCAAAGCTAGGACTGGAATAAGTAAGCCTTACAACGTCAAGCAGATCAAAACCACCAATGCTCAGGAGGCAGAGGCAGCGATCCGGTGTCTCCTGGAAGCCGGTGGAGGTAGGTCTCCTGGCCCACGAGGAGTGGAACGCCCACTTCCTTCTCATCTCTTCTCCCACTGAGGGTAGCCACAAAAAGAAAAGTTGTTTTTTTTTGGTGGGGAGGATACCATTACATAGAAGTATCCTTTAGCAATATTTTATTTGCTTACTTCCATCTATTCTCCATTTAAATTATGTATTCAAAATTCAGTACATTTTATAAAAATCATTGCAAGATTATTAAGCGGTATTTAAGGGAGCTACAAACAATGATTTTTTTTAAAGGTGACCAGTACATGCATGAATTCATTTGTCTTTGTGGAAAGTATATTTGTGGACTGGGCATTGTGGCTCACTCTTACATCCTAGCTACTTGGGAGGCCGAGATCAGAAGGATCACAGTTTGATGCCACCCTAGGCAAAAAAGAAAACAAAAACAGACCATTTTCAGGACCCTATGTCATCTAATAGAATCTGGACATGACGGTGAATGCCTACCATCCTAGCTATTTGGGAAGCAGAAATAGGAAGATCCAGGTCCAGGTTAGACCAGGAGCAAATATGGGCACCAACTCAAAAATTAACTGACACAAAAATGGCTGGGACCATAATTCCAGGAGTAGAACTACTGCCTACCTTGCATTCAAAAGAAAGAACCTGAATTCAAACTCTAGTACTACAAAGAAGAAGCTGCCAACAGATGTAGTCTGCATTTTAGACACAAAATCTACCTCCTACTCTCTGATGAGTGTAGATAAATTCTATATGTCAGAGCAGGACCACTGGAGAGTTTCTCCACTTAACGATGCCATGCTTTAGCAGGAATCTCCCTCCTTCACACACAGTCTCTGGTAACTATCATTTGTTGGTTTTATTCCAGAAGAATCTCTTTTGTTTTTGTTTTTGTTTTTTTTGGGGGGGTCCGGTCGTGAGGCCTGAACTCTGGGCCTGGGCGCTGTCCCTCAGCTCTTCAGCTCAAGGCTAGCACTCTACCACTTGAGCCACAGCACCACTTCCGGCTTTTTGCTTTTTGCTTATGTGGTGCTGAGGAATCAAACCCAGGGCCTCAGGCATGCAAGGCAAGCGCTCTACCACTGAGCCACCTTCCCAGCCCCAGAAGAATCTCTTTTGGAAAGGAGAGAATTATGTTCCTGAAAAGGGCATATGCATTTATAATCACCTAATTTGCTTTTCTTCAGTGTACTTAACCTACTTGGGAATGCTCATATAACATTTAAAGAGGTCATGAATTAGGAGATTGAGAAAGTATAGGATTATACAGCAGAGTTAGTTTTTAAATTTCATTAACAATAGGATTAAAAGTGTGATTGAAATAGCCCTTCTGCCCATCAACTGATAAATGGATAAACAAAATTCGGTGCATCCATCCAATGGTATATTACATAGACATAAAAAGACTCCATCATGGACAGACTTACGAAACTTTAATTGCCATGAACACACGTGAGCCCTGAAATTCTCTATTTCAGGTCCAACAGAAATGCCCAGTTCATCCCTCAGTGCCGCAGCCCTGCGGGACCAAGGATCCCCCAAACCAGATCGCACCCCCGGGAGCACCAAACTGGACACTTCCCAGGGGCTCCTGATCCTACCTCGCCGGCCCGCACCCAAGGTTCCGGTCATCAAGAAGCCAACCTTGAGGAGGACGGGGAAGGTAAGGGACAGCAGAGCAGGGCAAGCTGCTCAAATGACTCACCAGATACAGTGACATCTCGGACTGAGCCATCTAGTCGGATTTGGTTTCTCCATTCAACATCCCATGGCCCTAGCCCCAGCCTAGACCTTGAGGAAAATGGTTTAACAACCACTTTTTCCTTATCTCCCGGCTGGGTCTCAGCTCTGCTGAGCAGGACAAGAACTGCCCTAAAGGGATCGTGTCCCCTGACTGTGGTGAGCCCTCACACAGAACCACAGTGGGGTGCTTTTCCCCCTGGGGGTCCCTTGCTGGCGTTCATGTGTGCTGCGTGCACATGGCTTCACATGTGCAGATGGTATGTGCATTAGGAAACACGGCCTGGTGTCTAGACGAGCCGTCTTCCTCTCTCCCATGCAGCAAGGCCTCCTGGAGGCCCCACAGTTCTTCTCGCCACTTTTCTTGCAGATTGTGTTTTGCTCTCGCTCCCAAGCTTCTCAGCCTTGCTTACTGCTTCAAAGACATGAGTTTGTAAAGACAGTAGCTGCCCAGAGACTGGCACCTATAGACACATCCGGAACTGCCGTTTGATCTCAGTTCTAGGAACGGGCACCTGGTAAACCCTGCCTGAGCACCAGAGTGACTGCCTTCTCTGCCAGCCCTGCGTGAGCGTGGCTGTGCCCGGCCCTCTCCACTGAGCATGCTTCATCTCTTCCTCATTGTGTTTCTGTCCATGCCGGTGCATTGTGGTCTGTCCATTTTCCATGCTTTCTGGCCACATCAACCATTTCCTTCTTCCTCTCCATGCATTTGCCTTGTGTTTGCTTTTAAAAGCCAGGAGCCAAAGTGGATTCATTTTCCCAAGAAGCTGTTCAGGAGTTACTATGGAGAAGGGCTTAAACTTCTAGTTTGGTCTCCAAAGAACCAAAGGAAGCACCGGACAGCGAATGCTTAACTCCGGTAGCCACTTCCTTACAAAAAACAGCTTCATTTCACCAGGCGTCGGTGGCTCATGCCTATAATTCTAGCTACTCAGGAGGGTGAGATCTGAGGATTGCAGTTCAAAGCCAGCCCAGGGAAGGAAAGTTTGTGAGACTTTTACTTCCAGTTAACCACCAGAAAACTGGAAGTGGTGCTGTGGCTCAAGTGGTAGATCACTCTCCTTGAGCTGAAAAGCTCAGGGACAGGGCTCAGGCCCACAGTTGAAGCCCCACGACCAACAACAACAACATTTCATGTGTAACAACAGTCAAAACCTAGAAAGTACTGGGCACCTGTAGCTCATGCCTGTAAATTGTACCTACTCAAGAAGGTAAGATCTGAGGATGGAGGTTCAAAGCCAACCCAAGCAGGAAAGTTCATGAGACACTTATCTTCAGTGAACCACCAAAAAGTTGCAAGTGGAGTGGAGGCACAGGTGGTAGAGGCTAGCCTTGAGCAAAAATCTAAGGGACAGCGCCCAGGCCCTGAGAAAAACCTGGGGAGTGAAGTCCCTGTGGAACATTCCCCCCTCTTCTGTATCAAAATGGAAAAGGTTGCAGGGGAGAGCATCCAGGGGAGAAGGCAGCTTCAGAGGGGTTTCCTCGGAGTGAGGGAAGACCACGACCGTTTCCTGTGGCACAGACAACTTTGTCTCTGGTTTTAAAATCCCCACACACGTTTCCTTGGACGTATTGGGCTGACCTGGATGGTGTGTTTCTGCCATGCTTTCTCATACCTGGTCACATTTCTGGCATCCCAGACATTCTCCCATCCCAATATGGCCAGGATGCCAGCGCAGTCTCTCCTTCTCTGTCTCCTGCTGACCACTGAGCGTTCTGTGTCTCCTCTGCCCCAGGCTGGCTTCTTATTACACTCTTGTCTTGCCTTTTCTCAGCTCCTGTCACCAGAAGAACAGTTTGAGCAGCTGCCTGTCCATTTTACAGTTGGTCCCCCAGACACAAGTCTTGAACCCCCTCCTCCGTCAGCACTCCCTCGAATTCCACCTGTTCCCAAACCGAGAACATTTCAGCCCGGGAAAGGCATCGAGCGGAGGCCCAGCAGTGGACCACCAGCGCCGGAGGAGGTCCCGGCGGCAGGAGCAACCCAGCCACCTTCCGTCGCGGTGCCCAGGGTGCCCCCGCGGAGAAAGAAGTCTGCACCCGCAGCCTTCCACCTGCAGGTCCTGAAGAGCAGCAGCCAACTTCTCCAGGGCCTCACGTGCCACCGGGACGGGGCGGGCAGCTGCCCACCCGGACGCCAGCCGGACGCCAGCCCTCTCTGCACACAAGTGGGCTTTCTTGACCCTTCGTCTGCCACAAGCCCCCACACTGATGGCCCCAGAGACCCAAAGCCAGACGCAGCCTCTCTTCTTGATGAGTATCAGGATCCCTTCTGGAACCTTCTCCACCACCCTAAACTACTGAATAACGAATGGCTTTCCCAGAGCTCTGACCCTCTGGCCTCAGAAGCCAGGAGCGCTGAGAGATCACACAGGGACCCTGCATGTGTGGGGACCCAGGATCTGTCGCTAGACCTTGAGGAAAAAAACTTCCGCCACTGGGCGACCATCAGTAACAAAGACAAGAGGACCACGCTGCAGGTGTTCGACCCCCTGGCAAAAACATGACGCAGCACCCACGCAGCAGACCGGGCCTAAGACACCACACTGCGCATCGCTCACTCATGTGTACTTTACAAAAGTTGTGTCTCTTATTCAATAACGTCACAGTTCAGCCACCAGAAACGTCTTATGTAGGACGTGTGCACTTTAGGTCTGCTCTCAGGGTAAAAGGAAGCCTTCAAGGTTCAGGGTGTGGATTTTAAGGCAAGGAAATCTAGATAAGACCCAGAAAGTTCTGTGCTGTTGAATTTTAAATGGTAGTTCGATTCATGTGTGGGCTTTTTGATGCTGCTGTTTTGTGTTTGCAGATTTGGGGTGACGCCTTGGCAGCCGGCCTAAAGGTGGTGCACGGAGGGTGTCGATCGTGGTCGTTGGTACTATGAAGAACTGTCTGGCCCACTTTAGAGCAGGTTTAAAAACATCCAGGGTTGGAAACTGCAGCTAGGTCACCCCAAAGACTAGCTCAGGATTCCCCAGAACCCTGTGTTTGTGCAGGCAGCCCCTCTGCCACAGCACCCACCAGTCACAGATCAGAAACACCCAACACGGACAGACTCTTCTCTTGTAATTATTCCCTAAGCATTACAGCAGAGTAACTATTTGTACAGCATTTATACAACGAGGTATTTCAAACAATGATTGAAAGTGTGCAGTAAGATCCATGCACGGATGACATATGAACACCATGCTGTTTTCTGTAAGGGCCTTGAGTTTCTGTGGCACCCCACAGCGAGGGATGCCTGTACACTCAGTAACCTGATCGTGTGTGCATCCTCTGGGAGCCATAGCTTCCATTTGGTTTGGACTCATGGGGGCTGGTACCTACATTGTGATCTTCTTGAGCTGTGGTGTGTGTCTACCTAAGGATAATCCAGTTTGTGTCCACCATTTTGTTTCTGCCATACAACTTCATAGGCTCTGTTACATTTTATATACCCCATAAGGGGGAGAGAAAGAAGGGAGAAGGAAGATCACTGCTAAGTTTAGCCATCTTTCACATACAGGGATGTACCATGTGTCCCTCAGCGAGGGGGAGAATCCTGAAGGAGATGCTGACAGTGGGTCCTCTTCCCCGAGCATGCACAGCAGGCCTCTGGATGTCCATAAATAGGTGATCAGACAAAAGAGGGTGTTGAGATGCTCAGTTCTTCTTCTGTAATACTTGCCTATGTGAAAGGATTGTGTTGTTGCAGAGGTTAAAAAAAAGTTTAAGTGGAGGAAACAAGGTGGATTGCTTGGAGAAGTGAAATGATTGGCCAATATGTCCATGAGCTCTAATAGGTACAATGAAGAATGGAATTGAGTTCCTTACAGATGCTCTTTCCCTATACCCACTTTCTCACAAATTGGTACCTGAAGTAGGGTACAGAAGAGCAGAAGTCAATTCCACAAAGGTTGCTTGTGATGCCAGCAGTAGGCCTCTTCATTTTACAACGAACAACAAGTGACAAGCAACTGGAGAATCTGAGTGAATACTAACATCCAGAGTTGTGTTCACTTGAAGAGGACTATCACAAGAAAAGGGATGGCGCCAGTGACTCACACCTGTAATCCTAGCTACTCGGGAGGCTGAGAGCTGAGGATCATGGTTCAAAGCCAGCCAGGGTAGGATAGTCCATGAGACTCTAATCTCCAATTAACAACTAGAAAACTGGAAGTGGCACTGTGGCTTAAATGGTAGAATGCTATCCTTGGGTGAAAGAGCTCAGGCCCTGAGTTCAAATCCTACCACCAACCAAAAAGAAAAAGAAAAAAATGATGAGTAATGCCAAGTGACAGTGTCTCCCACCTGAATCCTAGCGACTCAGGAGGCTGATCTACAGATTGTGGTCCAAATCTTAGCATGGAGAGAAAAGTATACAGTACTCCATCTTCAAAATAACCAGCAAAAAAGCCAAGATAGACATGGTTCAAGTGATAGAGCACCATCCATGAGCAAGCAAGCACTGTTCAATACTACTGTTCAGTACCAGCACCCTCCTAAAAAAATTAAAAGTGCTTTAAGATTGAGAATTGAAGTAGTAGTATTTGATTTGATCATGTGTGTTAAAGTGTAATGAGCAGCATAGACTGAATTTGAGTTGGTAGTATAATTTTCACACACAAGTTTCTCTTAAAAGTAAGAACATTTAGAACATCCTTATCTAGTTTATAAATGAATGCTTACCAGTTGGAAGGCTTCTCAAGCTAGCAGGTGACTGAATTACCTTGACCATGAGTAGCGGCTCCCCAGGGGATTTCATTCTCTTTTAGTTTGGGTCATCTTATTGACTAAACATGATGCAATTCACTACTGTCTCTCCGACACATGGTATAGTTGCTTTCACCGTGTAATTTTCTCAAACCTATTAAAATTGTTCTAGTGATTGCAGTATGCAGGAAATATGCTCATCCAGTTCTTGTAAAAGTTTAAAGTGGCTGAAGTTCAAGACACTTTAGTTCTTCTTGACTTTGCATAAGTAATGTATTAAAGCATTAATTTTATAATAAAAACATTTTATTAGGGAGTTAAAAAGATTACTTATTGGAAGACAAGTGTTAATAAAAAACCCTACAGTGTTTTTTTGACTTATAATTTGTACTGATGTTGTACAGAATACCTATTAAATATTTTTGTCTTTTTAAAAATTGGGCTCATTTTCTTCCAGATATCAAGAGAACCTTGGAATATCTTCTTTGGCTAGCCTTCTGTTTTGGACCAAATGCAATTGCTACTTATCCCTCAGTGTAAGTTTTCTGTTTTGGTTCTTTTTTTTTGACTCATCAAGTGAAGTTGAAAAGGCAAGAAGGTAACAAGATTAGATAATATATATGACGTGAGTCATACTAAGTTAGGCAAGAGGCTGAGATGGGGAGGATCATGGATCTATGCCAGCCTGGGCAGAATAGTCTTCAAGACTTCATCTCAGTGGAGGGAAGCTGGATGCACCTGTGGTGTGCACCTGCCATCCCAGCAACTATGGAAAGCCTAAACAAGGCAGATGGTAGTCTGTGCATGTGCCCAGAGAGGAAGCAAGAACCCTATCTCAAAAATAACCAACATAAAAGAGGGATGAAGGCATAGCTCAATGGTAGAGAAGCACATTCCTAGTAAGTGTAAGGCCCTGAGTTCAAACCCAGTACAGGCAGAAATAATTTATGACTTGAAAGCTGCTGCCAGGGACCACTGCTGCACGGTGTAAGATTTCAGGATGCTTGAATTCACTTTCTGTAGGACATTATATGAAACCAAGTACACCTTGAATGGCAAGGATGGTTTGAGCACATTGTTTTGTAGAGGCGGGGGAAGTTCTGTCCAGATACACTATATACAAAGTGTAGGTCATAATGTTCCTTGGTGATTTTCAGGAATTATGAATGTAGTGACTATAGTCAATGCAGGCTGCAGAAGGATTGCAGCCTGTCCTAGGAAGGACTGTACTGCATTCACATGACCCCAGTGTGCAGCACTGGGACCTGGGTGCCAGGGAAGAAACAGCTGGTCGCAGGACCTTCTTTTCCAGGGTGGTGGGGGTGGGATTGAGCTTCAGTATTACTATTTTTATTGTATTATTTTTTGCATTACTACTATTGCATTTTTTGTCAGTCCTGGGGCTTGAACTTGGGGCCTAGGTGCTGTCCCTAAGCTCTTATGTCCAAGGCCAGCTCTGTACCACTTGGGGACACATCTCCACACATCTCTGGTTTTATGGTGATTAATTGGAGTCTCACAGACTTTCCTGCCTGGACTGGCTTTGAATCTTGATCCTCAGATCTCAGCCTCCTCAGTAGTTAGGATTACAGCCATGAGCTACCAGTGCCCAGCTGTCTTGCTATTTTTGACATCACTGTTTCAAACAATATGTCTGGCTATCCATTTATCCATCCATCCATCCATCCATCCTATTGCCTATACTTAAGTTGTAACTAGATTTTTCAGTAACTAACTTTTTATGTTTCTCTTTTAAATCAATTCTATCTTATTTGGCTCCTAAATATTTTCAGTCTGTATTTTCAACATTTTTTTTCAGTCTTAATACTGTAACTACATCCAACAAATAGCATTTAAATTTTATATCCTACGTTTACTAATATAATTTTTTGTATATTGAGAGCACTGGCAATCTTGCCAACCTTTCAGAGTTTCTAACAATTCCCTGTGTGTTAATACATTTAACATGCCAGTGGGCACAAGGGATTCACGTGATGCACCATCTTCTTAATGTTTTCAACTATATCACGTCAAACCATCTAGGCGATGCTGTCTAACTATAGCGATGTTAAAATATTTAGAAATGTGTTGTAATGAAAAACTGGCACATTTCTTCTTTTCTCATCCTTGAACTTTAGATGCCCTTTTCTTGCTGTACCACTGTTGAGAATATTTACCACAATATTTAAATACAGTAGCAACTATTCTTGTTATTCTTATTCCCAGAAGTTAGTATTTTTGCTCTTTTGTTGTGTTTTCTTCAAATAGCCTTTACTAAAGTATCTTCCTAGCTTGCAAAGTTTTTTTTCATAAATGGTGGTTAATTTTATCAAAAAAATTTGGGCTGGGAAGGTGGCTCAGTGGTAGAGTGCTTGCCTTGCATGCCTGAGGCCTTGGGTTCGATTCTTCAGCACCACATAAGCAAAAAGAAAAAAGCCAGAAGTGGCGCTGTGGCTCAAGTGGTACAGCACTAGCCTTCAGCTGAAGAGCTGAGGGACAGCGTTCAGGCCCCACGACCGGACACCCCCCCCCAATTTTTTTCTCCATGTATTGAGATCATTTTTCTTTATTTTGTATGCTAATATGATAAATTACATTGATCCATTTTGCAAAGCTTGAATTTTTGGCATAAACTTTTGACAGCTATCCTTTTAAATATTGCTGGATTAGTTTGTATGTGTGTGCCAGTACCTGGGGCTTCACTTGAACTCAAAGTCAGTTAACTTTTAGTTTTTTCACTTGAGTCTAGCTCTGTATCACGTGAATTATACCTCCAGTTCTGAGTCTTTACTCATTGAGAAGACTGTCAGATTTGTCTGCCCAGGATGGCTTTCAACCATGATTCTCAGATCTCAAGCTCCTACAGCTAGGATTACAGGCATGAGCCACAGTGCTTGGCTCACTTGTCAGTATTTCAGCTTAAGATTTTTACATCTGTGTTCATAATTGCAAGTAGCTGATTACTTTTTTTTTTTTTTTTGGTCCAGTCGTGGGGCCTGAACTCTTGGCCTGGGCACTGTCCTTCAGCTCTTCAGCTCATGCTCTACCACTTGAGCCACAGCGCCACTTCTGACTTTTTTTCTTTTTGCTTATGTGGTGCTGAGGAATCGAACCCAGGGCCTCAGGCATGCAAGGCAAGCGCTCTACCACTGAGCCACCTTCCCAGCCCACTTTGTCCTTTTTGTACTGTCCTTTGATAGTTTTGGTATACAAGTTGTATTAACCTCAGAAAATGAGTGAAGGTGTGCAATCTTTCCAATGAACTGGAAGAATCTGATAATAGAACCATTTCCTTGGTTGGGAGCCCTCATCCGTAATGTGCACTAGGCTTAGAGTAAGTCTGTGACTTAAGTCATTGGTTCTCTTCCTTTTAGGGTCATAGGATTGGCCATGTTTTCTGCTTGGAGGCAGTTTGGGTGTGATGGTCCATCCTGTCAACTTGGTTGGATTGGAAAGCCTAGGAGATTAGTAAACATGTCCGTGTGTGTCTGCGAGGTGTTTCTAGAGGTTGGGGGGAGGGGCGGGGAGGAGATACCCTGGACACAATGATCTAGCAGCCCTGCCAGGACTCTGTCAGCCATCTCCACCACGATGGGCTGAAACTCTGAAACCAGGAGCCAGATGCATTTTCCCCTTGTTTATCTCAGGAATTTTTTACAGTATAGAAAGGCTAAACTAACATACCAATTTTTCTTGGAATTTTCTGTTTCATTTAAAATGTAATCAATTGTGGGGCTGGGAAGGTGGCTCAGTGGTAGAGCGCTTGCCTTGCATGCATGAGGCCCTGGGTTTGATTCCTCAGCACCACATAAGAAAAAAGAAAAAAGCCGGAAGTGGTGCTGTGGCTCAAGTGGAAGAGCGCTAGCCTTGATCTGAAGAGCTGAGGGACAGCGCTCAGGCCCAGAGTTCAGACCCCACAACTGGACCCCCCCCAAAATGTAATCAATTGTAAGCATTCACACTAGGGTTCTTATACTTGCTAGGTAGCTGCTCTTAACCACTGAACCATACTTCCAGACCCTATTTTTTCTGAATATTTCTGAAATACGGTGTTTCCTGCCCAGGCAGGTACATGGTGTGATCTGCCTATGCTAGTCTTCCTGTCATGGCTAGAATCAAACCACCATATCCAGCTTTTCATTGAGAAGGGATCTTGCAAACCTTTCTGTCTGAACTGGCCTCAAAATGTGATCCTGTATATCTCAGCTACCCAAAATGTGAGTGTTGTAGGCAGGAGCCACCAGCACTTGACTGGTTTTTAATGCCAGGTGCTGGTGGCTACTCAGAAGCTATAAATCTAAGAACTGTTGTTCAAAGCCAGTTCAGGCCGACAAATCCTTGAGATTTTTATGTCTAGTTAACCAGCAAAAGGCTGGAAGTGGAGGTGTAGCTCAGTTAGTATAGCACTAGCCGTGAATGAAACAGAGCGAGAGGAACTAGCAAAAAACAGTCTACATTACAGTGATATCTCCTTTTTATGACTGATACTAATAATTTGTCCCTTCTCTTATTGTGATTGCTCTTACAAGAGGTTTGTCAATTTTATTGATTTTTTTCCCAAGAATCAACTTTAGACTTATGAAGACTGCTTTTCTCATTTCATTAGTTTATGTTCTCTAAGCCCTCCTTCTATTTTCTTTGGTCTTCACTTTTCTGTGGTCTTGGCAGAGTGTATGGTTCATTTCGTACGCGTTTCGGAAGGGTTTGTATCTATTCTCCGTCCTCGTGTGCATTGCAAGTGTCCAGGTAAACCCCCGGTGAGGGGCTCTACATTACACATAGCTTACATCTGTATTCTCTGCCCCCTACTTTTTTTGGTCTCCTTGTTCTTTAAGTTCCAAGATACATGTCAACATCTTCCTGTAGTTTTCTACATTTTTATATTATGTAATTATAGATGACATACAAGTAATTTTTAAAAAACTATTTTCTATTGAAAGTAGTTGTACAAATTTGTGACTATACTAAAAACCAATAAACACTTTAAAAGGGTACATTTTGGATTGAGGATCCAGCTCAGTGGTACAGCATCTCCCTAACAAGTGTAAGGCCCGGGATTCAATCCCCAGCACCACACACAAAAAGGAAATTTCCAGGTATGTGAATTATATTTCAATAATACTATTATTCAAAAGCACATTATTTTCTCACATACTAGTGGTTATCTAGTACTACTACTACACGAGCAAAGAAAGAAGGTATACTTTATTTAGCCAAAGAGAATATGAAATCTTACTAAGTTCTGTTAACATCTAGTGGCTTAGAATAGCTTTTGTTTTTTCCATACTCTGATGATCAGTAATGGACTAGCTACTTTGTCCTTATCCCAAACACATTACAAGCACGTTACAAGCTACAATCTGGAAAGAATTCTATAAGCTAGAGTTTGGGTTTTTTTTTTTTAAAGAAACAGTTTGTTCTTAGCAATATGAAAATAAAAACAAGGAACTGCCCCATGCACAACAATTGGCCTAAAAGACCAAGTGTCAAGGATTTAACTGTTTAAAACTACATGTTTTGAAAATGACATTTAGAAACTTCGCAACACACAGCTAGAGGACAGCCCTTCCTGTGCCAGCTCCCTGCCTCTCACTTCGGGTACGCTTCTAGCGGCACTGTCATTGTAAGCTGAGTCGCTAGAGGACTCCTCTCATTCCAGGTCCCCCCTACTTTGACACCACTCCCCCGTCCCTGCCAGGGCTCCTGAGGGAGCGGGATATCAAGGAGGAAAGGCACTGGGCCTGGCTCTGAGCTCCTGTCACAGGAGCTCCTCCTCCTGTGCCTGCCCTTCTGCGCGGTGCTTTCCAGTGCTCAACACACAGTCACGTCTTGCTGCCTGCACCACACTTTCGGACCACGCGATGCCATGCTGACTGTTCATAGGACTGCGCAGAGACCAAAAGGAAAAGAACACCAGCTTTCCACACTGTATTCGCACAAAGAATGGAAGACAACTGTCATTTTTCAAGGTCTTTGGCTAACGTTTCACGGATGAATTGCAAAGTACGCTGATACAAAAAAGCATCCTTTTTCCTCGGCTTACAAATGTTCAAGTGGTTAACGTCCACGGGAATTAGGTCCCCAATGCCTAGAGCTGGAGAAAACAGAAATGTCAATAAGCCGAAATTAAAGCAAAAATAAAGGCTTTTCACCTGCTTGTCAAAAGGGACCCAACAGATGAAGCCTTCACGTTCAACTGCGCCGCACATCTGAGCTACATGTGCGCCATCACATGAGAGCAGGTACTCAGGAAGTACTGTGCAAAGTCGTCTTTTGGGTCCTACCTACCTACCTAAATGAGGAAGTTAGCAGCAGAGCCTGAGCACTGGTGTCTCAGCGCTTCCTGTACGGGAGGTCTCTGTGGCACACCACGTGGTGGATGCCATGACTGCACCACGAGCTCCCTTACTTGAGGAAAAGAGTGGGAATGTCGCATGGGGACCCATCCTGCACTCAAGCCCCTCATCCCATGATTCCTTGCGAGACCTGGAGAGGTTTCTGACACTGCAGTCAAGTTCATCTGGTTGGAGGGATCAGAGATGTCAGTGAGACCTCTGAGATGAGAAAGTGGGTGGGAGGAAGCCACAGGCCTGGTGACACGGAAGAAGCCACACAAGTGTGACGAGGCTGCCATACGATAAGCTTCCCAAGGTCTTCCCAAGCAGACAGTGAGCAGCAGTTCTTTGAACACTGTACATAGGAACACCTCATGGGATTCCATTAGTCCACTATAAAAGATTAAGGGTTCTTCATTTTCTTTGGGTGATAGGGAACGGGATGTAATACACATGCTGACTGTTCAGGCAGCCTCTTTGTGCACTGTGTCTCGCGCCCTGAGTGGCGCAGAAGGGCTGGGCACCAGCTGCCGGGACACCCAAGCAAGAGATGAATCGAAAGGAGCTAGGCACACAGGCATGGAACTGATTCTAGGTCTTCACCAAACTTTCTCCTAAAAGTGAGCAGCTAGATGTAAAAGCTGATAGCATTCAATGTCAAGATTCACCTCAGTCTCCACTCAACAAGTTTCTAAAGAGTAAATACCTGCCGAGTCCACGGGCACGATGTGGAGTTTAAGCATGCTACCAATAAAGGTTGGTTGGGTTTCTACGAAACTCAGCACCTGGAAGTTTTTGTCTTTAGCAAACTCCAGAAAGTCATCCTGTAGTGTTTTAAGTGCAGGAGAATCTATAAAGTTAACAGAGAATAGGAGCATAATGAGTTTGTTTATCCAATTCAGAATAAAATGCATCAATCTTTCCCGTTTCAGGAGGACACTAGCATTCTGCCTTAAGATGAGCATGGGCTCCGCGCACAGCACCTCAGAGCCACAGGCAGACAGAATGCAGACAGCAGGCAGAGTGGCACACTGGAAGGAACCACCAAATGAGGTCACAAAGGAGCTTTTCAGAACACTAATTGGTTTCTTTGGAACTACTTGACAGGACAATGGTGCCACAAAACATGTTGCTATGAATACAAAACAACCAGAGAACAATAAAGAACTTAGGGAAAATTAAGTTGACTTCATTCAAGGAAGTAAACTTTGAAAATCGGAGCCAAGATGGTACAGTGATGGGCGATCTGCAAGCAGCTCAGCCACAGCAGAACCTGGGCCGGGGAGAGAGCTCAGGAGCTCAGCAAGGAATCCACAGGAATGCTAAAGGCAGCATGCAGCGTCCAAAGGGCAAGCACAAGGACAGGGCATACACACTGTACACAGCATACGGCAACTCTAACTCTAACCCAAGCGCCATGCTTGGGCTGTGAGGTGGGCAGCACGGGAGCAGCCCACCACTCCATCGTGCTTACAGGCTTTCAGTCCGGTTTAGAGAGCTGATTGGTCTAAGAGACACTGCTCTTCTCCAAAGGAGGAGCTCACTTCGGGCCTTTCTCTGGATTCTGCCCATCCACCCCCCACCCACACAACTGCCTATCCCAGTGCCCCCGCCACTACAACAGCCTCTGCTATCCCTTAACATGCCTTAGGGACTGGGCAGCCAGTGCTCTGATGAGTTCAATGAGTTCAAGACCTCGGCTGGCACATGCCTCAATGGGTAGAAGACACCATGCTCCCCAGAACACCATGGCCACGAGCCTGTGCCCACCCACACTTGCCTCAGGGGAACTGGGAAAGACCTTCCCAGCCCACAGTGCTGAGAAGCCTCGCTGTTGATGTGAAATCCTGCCTTTACCCTCACCTGTCCATCCAGAGCTGGGAAAACCAAGCTGTATCCTACCTCTCTAGGAATGTGGCTACCAGCAGCCCCGGTCCCAGGACCAGGACCACCTGTGCTCAGTGAGCCTACTGGTGTGAAAAGCCCAGCATCACCAAGCCTGCCCCTGGCGACCCAGGGAGAGGGCCACTTCAGGTCTCAGAGCTTCAGGATTGTGACTTCCAATGCCCCATGAGATACAGGGACACTCCACATCCTACAGCTCCAGAACTGCAGATTCTCAAGTCATAAAGCCACAAACCTCCACTGCCTGTGTTCACCCCATGGGATCTAGGTCTCCAGCATGTTCTGTGAGTCCAAGGACACCAGTATCTGATCTCAAAAAAAAAAAAAAAAATCAAGCTGGGCATGGTGCTATACACCTATAACCTCAGTTCCTCAGAAGGTAGAGATAGGAGGATCATGGTCCAGGGTCAGCCCCAGGCAAAAGTGCAAGACCTTATCTAAGAAAGATGCTACAGCAAAAAGGGCGAAGAGCATGGCCAAGTGGTAAAGCATTTGCCTTGCTGATCAAGTGCAAGGCCCTGAGTTCAAATCTCTGAAAATACATGCATATATAAAGCTCAGTATTAGAACAGATACATGGAGAGAACCAAACCTTAGTATGACTGAAAACTACACAAAAATAAAAGGGGGTAGGAATGAGAAACTTACAAATCAAGCAGAATAAAATTAAGAAAATGGTTCGAGGATGCTCAAATTTATCAATACCAACCCTGAAAATAAGTAGATTAAGTTCACAGACTTAACCAATTAGATGCTACTTTTAAAACACTTGTTTCACTGGTAAAGATATTAAAAGTGAAGGGTTTAAAAAAGATAAAACACAGAAATGGAAACTAAAAGTGAGCAGTACTACTTACAGATGAAAGATAGTCATTCATTACGTATTGATAAAGAATCAACTCAGGGCCAAGCATGGTGAGAAGGAAGCAAGCAAGGGAAAATACGAGCAAGAAGGCAACTAGCATGCTCAGGCTCCTGGAGTTCAGAGAGAACAAGTACTATAACAGAGATACTGCTTTATGACAGATACACAAAGTCCCAAAGGTTTGTTTGTATTTTAGAAGTTGATTTTGCAAATTCATGGTAAAAAACATAAATAAAACTTTAAAAAGGGGGCTGGGAAGGTGGCTCAGTGGTAGAGTGCTTGCCTTGCATGCATGAGGCTCTGGGTTCAATTCTTCAGCACCATATAAGCAGAAAAAGCCGGAAGTGGCACTGTGGCTCAAGTGGTAGAGCGCTAGCCTTGAACTGAAGAGCTGGGGGACAGTGCCCAGGCCCAGAGTTCAGGCCCCACAACCGACAAAAAAAAGAAAAAAATTTAAAAGCACAATAATTTTTTTGATGTTAAGTACCTAAAATAACATTGAAATTATAGCTATACTTGAGTAAATATTAAAAACAAAAAAAGTAAAGTGTTAAAGGAAAGTTAGGCCCAAGTCCAGGTTTTTCGGTGGATAATCTAAACACAGGTATGAATAAAGAATGAGTGAGTATGCTCAAGGAGGAAGCTGGATTCCCACCTTCTCTTCTGTAATTAGTGTTAACAGCCCTCCAGCCTCCATGTAAGAAGGCATTACCTTTGCTGAGCTCTTTAACTTCCAAAGAGGGAAATAGAAGATAGCGAATATTAACAGAGTATTCAGCCAGCCGGGAACCGTGGTGTGGCACGCTGTAAAAAATGATTCCTCGGGTGTTGTTGATAATTGTGCTCAGTTCTGGCTTCTGAGAGGCTTCCAACAGCATCTTTTTGACAAGAAGACCTAGCCACAGAGACAAAGGACAAACAGTGTATAAACTATTTTTTTCTTTCTCATATTCTTAAAAAAAAAAGCAAAATAAGACAGCTGTTTTCCTTAAAATACTTTAAAATAAGTCAGGCGCTGGTGGCCCACACCTGTAATCTTAGCTACTTAGGAAACTGAGATCTGAGGACCATGGTTCAAAGCCAGTCTGGGCAGAAAAGTCCCCATGAGACTCTTATCTCCAATAAGATAGTCAAAAAAGCCAGAAGTGGTCCTGTGGCTCAAGTGGTAGAACATTGGCCTTGAGCACAAAGCAGCCCAGAGATAGCACCCGGGCCCTGATTTCAAGCCCCCGAACTAGCAAAAACTAAAAATTCTAATTAAAAAGAAAATTAAAATTTCTATAGTATAGGAAACAAGGCTTTAAACGTATTACCACCCCTCATCCTCTAGTTGTACAGTACAGGTAGCCTCTGAAGTGGTGGATTCTAGAAACTGGCTTGTAGAGTTGACCCTTCCTGCCAGGGTGGCCCACACCCAGAGCTGCCACGTGCCAGTCCACTGCTAGAAAAACCAGCGGCTGTGGGAAAGCATCTTCTCCACCTTCATCCTCTACCTCAGTAGTGGGTCTTTGGGAAAGAGAAACTTTTAGCAAAGAGCCCCAGCTCCAGACCAGCCATCCTGAGCACCTCATCCAGCAGCCCCGGCCAGGGCAGGGTAAAGACGGTGGTGTGGATGGCGAGGGCCAGCAGCTGGGGTTGGAGACACTGGGAGGAGCAGAGCATGCAACAGAAACAGCAGTATCAGACCCCAAAGTACAGCAGCTGGAATCACATCTCAGCAGCTCTTGGCATCTGGGAGCTGTGGCTGTGGGCAAAGAGGCAGCAATGGAGCTTGCAATGGGGGAGAAAAATAGGGAGCCTAAGACCCGCCAGGAATGCGGGCCTGTGGTGCCCAACATGCAAACATCCCTCTGAGGGACCAGGACAGAGGAGTGGTGTGTTCTGAACCCAGGCCCTCTTGCATGGTTTGTTACTAGTTGTAGCAACTTTAGAACCCTGAGCCATAGGCACAAACAGTAATGGCTAGAGGGCTGCCAGGAAACACCACAGAGATGCAGACCATTCAGGCTGGCTGTGTGGTGACAGCCATCTCATGATGGCCGCTGCGGAGTTGGAGCGTCCTTACCTCCCATGCTATGTGATATCCAGATCATCGGCCTATCCCCAACCCCAGCGGCTCTGAGCTTGCTAAGAAGTTCATTGCTTCGGAATGCAATGGTCTTTCTGGATAAAAGGAAAACAGTGGAATGACGGGAGGTATGGGCCCCCAGACCTTGCTACCTAACTTCAAATCAGGATCCGCTGACTGGATGAATGCTACGAAACACATTTTGGAGTGAGGAATACTCCTGCAGGCTCATTTTCTGACTCTCATTCTTGAACCAAAATGTCAACAGTGACATAGGACTAAGCCCAGAACACACCATGCATGTAGGAAGCAAGCAGAGGTTGAGCATCAAATGTGTCTGGCAATTTCTAGGTCAAACCTGACCTCACCCCAGTTGCCGCCAGCACCTCGGGTGTGAGCGACCCTTCTCATCCTGTGGCCTGACTACAAAAATGTCCTCAGAGCCTCAGTTGTCTCTCCTGAGTTTAGTTTGACTTGTATTTTTGTTGCTAATATTAAGCTTCCATCATTTTGGCTTACTTAGAAACACTAAGAAATTATTCTAATCAGAGTCCAAAATGAGTAACTTTCAGACTAAAAATAAACTTCAAAACGGTTTGGTCTGGTATTTTCACCCTAGCTGTAGACACCTTTTCTCAGGACAAAGTGGGAGAAATGGGAGGGAGGCCTGATACTTCCAGCTCACCCAGGGCACTTCTACCTTGGGCTCTGGGTGGGGTGTGTTCAGAGCACAGTGTGGTATGTGGGGCCCAGCGCCTCTGTCTTTGGACAGGCGCTCAGATCCTGTGACTGGGTAGGACTATGCAGCAAGACACAGAAGCAGGCTGCAAGGCAGGCCCTGAAACCCAGCAGCCCAGTGCTCCTTCCTGTGCACTCAAGTAGCACAGGGCACAGAGGGGACAGAACTGCTCCGCATCTTTTCCTTTGCTTCCTTTAGTCTTCAGGACTGTAAGCACGAAAACATTTTTACTTCCAGTGGAAATGAAAACTTTGATCTGGAATGAGGTTTTTCACTATTATAGATGAAGCAGATTCGGTGGGCAGCATTGACCTTTGTCTTAGCCTTCTACTGTTTTACTGTTCACTTAGAGCTAATTCCTCAGAGAAAAGAGACGGTAGAGAAAAAAAAAACCCTATGGTATTAAACATAAAAATCACCTCCCACCGCAGAGGATCCAGTTGCGCTGGAGCCCTTCCTCCCCCAGCAACCTCTGATTACCTTTCCATAGGGCACCTCGCCCTCCAGTCACTGAGGGCGGTGTCATACTCCACAGATATAATCCGGAGAGCGGGACAGTCCTTTGCTAGCCATGTCTAGGTGAATTGAGAGGTGTGTAAGAACATGCATGCATTCCTTCCACCCCAATTACTTCCTAGGAATTAAAATTTGTAACTGAAGTTCTCTAGCAATGGACAACAAGGACATATTTTTAAAAATCTAGTCACAAAGCAGTGTGAATATTTATAGCATAAGTCCAATGGAGGTGTGATAGGAATGTTCTCAATGTTAAAGTGCCCCCCAGGGCGCTTCAGAGAGCATTTTCAGATCACAAAGCTAGCATCTCAGGACAGACTGCACCCTGACAGCGAGCCCGGAAAACTTAAAGACAGAAGAGACCGTCACGGTTTCTTTCTGGAGGCCCTGGGCTGACGGTATCTCCAGACAGTAGATCACCAGAGAGGACATGCAAACATTCTTTCTAAGGTAAGAAGGAGGGAGGCAAACTCTGGAACATCACACACAGGTATGGACCGCCAGTCCTTGAATTAGCTGCTGATACCTTCATTCAAGGAATCCATTCCAGAGTTAAGGCTCTTTGGGAGAAATAGTCTCAAAGAAATGCAAAGCAGAATTACTTCTAAGTATGTCTAGTTTTATAATTACTGAGATGGTAAAACTGGCTACTCTGAATACAATCACGGCTTTATTCTTTTCTATCGTACGCTTCAGTGGAAGTGACCAATTATGCTCTGGCCCCTTATTTTCTCAATTGCACCTTACATTGAAATTATACAACATCAGGTCACAGGCCTGGCTGTCACTGAAACATGATACAGGTGTCATGAAGGGAAAGAACTTCATGGAGAAAAAATTCCCAGTAAAAAGGGACAGGGAAACGAGTCCCGCAGGTGGCGACGGCAGTGCCATTTCATGTGGTGACAGAGGCGCTGGCCCCAGCGGCTGCTCCTTACCTTGGGCCAACATGTAGTGTACCTGTTTTCATCCTCCAAAGCCTTTTCAACCAGAACTTTCTCGCTGTCATGCTGGCGCCAGGTTTTGAATGCTGCTCCCATAAGGCCATGAATAAAAAGGACATCGGCTTTAATGGGCTGACTAAGGAGAGAGAGTTTTAAAAAGAAGCAGAATAAGTGCATTACTACGATGGTCAGATGTGCCCAGCATTCTCTGCGGATGGGGCTTTAGCAGGTTTCTGTGACATAAACACAGGCTGCATTATGGCAAGTTTCCTAAGCGCAGGATTACTGCAGATCCTAGGAGTTTGGAAAAGGCCCACAGTATGCTCATAGCTCCTTCCATAAAAACAGGAAAATGGAGCTGGGCACAACCACCACAGGTGACTTCATAAACTCAGTGGTAGACCAAGTAACATGCTGCTACCATCCGATTACCCTCAAAGTGAGTCCACGAGGACATTCTACAAGGCATTTGACATTTTTTCTCTGGATAGGACATACAAAATATACATAGAATATCTGTTGCAAGCTATCTACAGTAAACATATACAAACATACAAAAAACATCAAGTATTTAGAAATTTGAACTAGGCTAATTCCTTTTTCAAACTTAAAAAGTTTTTGCCGGCAGCTAGGCGCTGGTGGCTCATACCTGTAATCCTAGCCACTCAGGAGGCTGAGATCTCAGGATTCTGGTTGAAAGTCAGCCTGGGTAGAAAATGTGTGAGACTCTTTTCCCAATTGGCCAGCAAAAAAGCTGGAAGTAGAGGTGTGCTCAAGTGGTAGAACACCAGTCTTGAGTAAAAAAGCCAAGTGAGGGCAAGAGGTCCTGATTTCAAGCCTGAGAACTGACACCCACAACAACAACTAAAAAGCCATAACTGGGCATGTTGAAACAGTACTCAGGAGGCTGAGGTAGGAAGACCGTGTGTTCCTGGGTCAGCCTGAGATATAACGCAAGCTTCTGTCCCACCAACTAAATAGATTAAAAATCTATCTGTAGCCAGGTGCTGGTGGCTCATGCCTGTAATCCTAGCTACTCAGGAGGCTGAGATCTGATGATCACGGTTCAAAGCCAGCCTGGGCAGGAAAGTCCATGAGACTCTTATCTCCAATAAACCACTAGAAAACTGGAAGTGGCACTGTAGCTCAAGCGGTAGAGCACTCGCCTTGAGCTGAAGAGCTGAGGGACAGCGCCCAGGCCCAGAGTTCAAGCCCCATGACCGACAAAAAAAAATCTATCTGTAAGGCATTCTATTGTAAATTAGCAGAAAAAAATGAAAATGGATTTATGCTTGTGAAACAAAATGAACACTCTGCCTGCTCACCTTGTTCGGTACTGGGGATGCAGCACATACACGCCGTCCTGGTACTTCTCTTGCACGGTTTCTCGGTCTAGATTAGCCAGGGTTCTGGCAGCATGTGAGGCTTCCATAATCTGTTGAGATTTTAAGGCTTCAGCCATTATGGAAACCCAGCCTACAAAAAGAACAGATCTCTAAAATACTGATATGAATCCATCTCAAGCTGTAAGGAGGTTTTAAAAGTACAAGGTTAGAAACTGGGAGCCGTGGCTCATGCCTATAATCCCAGATACTTAAGAGGTTGAGATTTGGAGGATAACAGTTTAGGGACAGCCTTGATAGAAAGGTGGGTAAGATCTCATTCCAACCAAAAACAACTGGGTGTGGTGGCATACACTTGTTAGCCCAATTATGTGAGAAGTATAAACACAGATTAACAGTTCAGGCCAGCTAGACCATGCTGTTCTGGAAGACCCTATAGTATTCCAAAAATAACTAGAAGGAAAAAAACAAAGCTGGGGGTGTGGTTCAAGTGATCGAGTGCTTGCCTGGCAACCACAACGTCCTGAGTTCAAACTCAAGTTAGAGAAAGGTGAGTCTCAATTATTTGTCTTAGGTGGGAAAGCTCCAACCACTTCAGCTTCTTCCTACCCTCTGAGCAACGCTTGAGGAATCTCTTAGAAAATCTAACACAACTTGCAGTTACTGGTGGTGAGGTAACAAAACAGAACTAAATACCATGTTTTACATTTAACCCAGTAGGTTAATACCATTTTATCCTGATCAGTGATCATATTGGCAGACTAATATACATCTGAAAACTATTTTCTTTTTTTCTTCTGTTTACTGTTCTTGTTAAGCAGGAGCTTTACCACCTCCTTTGCTGTACGTTCATTTTCAGATAAGGTCTCAGTTTTTGCCCTGGGCCAGCCTCAGGACACAGATACGCCTAACTTTGGCTGCCTTCATGGCTGAGATGCTAGGTGTGTGCCAGCATGCCTGACTTGCGTTCAGTGAGAAGGGCATCTCGGCAACTTTTTGTCTGAGCTAGCCTTAAACCATGCTCCTTCTGATCTCTATATCCTTGAGATTAAAGACATGAGCCACTAGCACCTGGCTGGAAACTATTTTTAGTAATTGTTTTGGATACACAAAAGTCTTACCAAACCTATTATTCAAGAAGAAAAAACTTCAAAACAGAAGGCACACAGCAAAGTTGGGGACAATTCTATGCACATGTACATGACAGTGCGTGTGTCTGTCTACACACTCCAACAACATGCAAACATCTGGACAGGCACAGGAACCAAGCCATCCAGGGTCACTACCTCTTAGGGAGAGGCTGCGTGGAGTTCTCTGTAAATAATATATACACAATTTAAAATAAAGTAGACCATGGGCCTGGTGTCAGAGACTTGGGTCCAAATTTCTAGTCTCCACTTATGTGCTGTGAAACTTCAGTCAAGTTGTTTCACACACGGAACTGGAAGCAGCTTTGCTAAATGTATGCGTGCGAAAGCCCTGGGCCCGCAGGGACCCGGCAGTCATCAGGAGCCGACTGCTTTTCCCACGCGCCTCCTGCTCCAGGACCACATGGTGAGTCATAATCCGGAAAAGGTTCCAGACCTACTTGTTCTTTAACAACATCCAAATTAATATTATCAGAAAATCCTTCCAAATCTATTAGAGATGGTATAATAGAAAAATAAAAATGTTTTTAAAAAATCCTCCCTAGGGTCATATACAAGTACATTACTAAAATGTGTCAACGTATGACTGTTTTCAATGGTCACTAGAAAAGAAACCCAAGAAAAATCACAGCATAGGCCTTTTCTGGGGTATTTTTCAGACACAGTGCCTGAGATGTTGTATCTTGTTTTAAATATTTAGTGTTTTGATATTATATAATACCTGACACATACTATTTTTTTAAGGAATAACAAATAATAAAAGCAGCATTTCCTAATTCCATTTCTATCCTCACAGTAACTAAAGTTAGAAGTGTGGTAGACACCCATTTAAATCTTTTGAGAAAAAGCAACTATATACCTATAACTTACACAACATTGGCTGTCTCTATGTGCATTGTGTGTGTGTGTAATACTGAACTCAGGCTTGAACTCAGGGCCTGGGAAGTATCCTTGAACAAGTCCTGCGGATAAAACAGAATCAACTTTCATTCCCATGAACCAGGAGGATCAGGCCAGCTTTCACACATGAACATTATTACTATCTTTTTAACTTTTGTAACCCTAAAGGCAAAACCTCATCTGTCTTTCTGATGCCAGTCTGATGGATCAAAATGCACAGAGACAAAATGGGAATATGAGAAGGGAAAATAAAACAGGCAGCAGAATTAAAATTGGATTACTGCAGGCTGGGAAGGTGGCTCAGTGGTAGAGCACTTGCCTTGCATGCACAAAACCCTGGGTTCGATTCCTCAGCATTACATAAGCAGAAAAAGCCAGAAGTGGCACTGTGGCTCAAGTGGTGGAGCACTAGCCTTGAGCTGAAGAGCTGAGGGACAGCGCCCAGGCCCAGAGTTCAGGCAAAAAATTAAATGAAATGAAAAATGAAAAGAAATGGACTACTGGGAACTATGAGAGCTGAGCAAAAGTCAGCACAGAAAACAGTGGTGAAAAGGGGTCTGACCAATAGCTGCCCTGCTGTAAATCTCTGCGTCTCCATGTCATTAGTGAACTTCAAGATGGGCAAACCGAAATGATCCAAAGTACAGAGGAAAAAATGAACACGGTCTCAATGATCTCCAGAACAGAATCAAGAGGTCTGACAGAAGCCAGGAGCTGGTGGCTCATGCCTGTAATCCTAGCTACTCAGGAGGCGGAGAGCAAAGGATTATGGCTCAGAGCTAGCCTAAGCCGGACAGTCCATGAGACTCTTACCCTCAGTTACCCAGCTGAAAGCTGGAAGTGGAGCTGTGACTCAAGTGGCAGAGCACCAGACTTAAGAGAAAATGCCAAAGGAGAGTGTGAAGCCCTGAGCTCAAGCTAGTACTGGCATAAGCCAAACAGAAAACACCAAAAAATGTTTAGTTTAAATTAATTTTTTAAATGTAGGCATGAGAGGGCGGGACAAACAATTCACCAGAAGATAAATCAGAAAACTCACTTTAGAATTTAGCACATCTCTTAATATGTGATGGAACTAAGGAAGGAAAGAGGGAGAAGACTATTATTTGCAAGCAAAAACAGTTATATGTTGGGACTCTTTTGTCCTGACAATGTTTTGTAAACTAAATCACATCCAAACTATGTGAACCATGAGACAGCCATCTCGACAAGGCTGCTGTCCCGCGTGGGAATAGCTAGAGTCTCGAACATGTCCGCACTGCTCCTCTAGTACCAGGAACTTGGATGGTCCTGAGCCAGCCAACATCTGCTGAAGCACAAGTCGGGAATGGCCAGGGGAGAACAAAGGCGTGATGAGGTCATTACCTGAGCGGACTATGGGAGCGTGCAGCCGCTCGCTCAGAGCCATATTTCCAACGATCCGCATGATGTTTCGCTGCACGTTAGGGCAGTCTCTGTAGAGGTAGTGCAGCCTCTGGAGAAGCTGCAGGCCACCCTGGGCTTCGATTTGATCACAGTGCGAGGGTATCTAGCACAACAAACAAGGAGAGTGGTGTTAACGTTGCACGCGTCAGTATGTGAAATGACAGAGTGCTGACAGTGACAGCACACTCAAATAGGCAAACCTCCGTCTCCACCTCGCAAGCACGGGGACACAGAAGGCACCTCACCAGAACTTCTTGTTCTTAAAGTGACCGTGCTCTTGCTCAGATGAAACCACAGTATTATTATTACAACATTCTATCCATTTATACTGGTAGTTTGATTTGAAATGGTTCTTTAATCTTGAGTAGCCTCCACCTGGCAACAGGAAGAGGTCCTCTGTGTAGGCAGCTGGATTTGTCCTGCAAACAAGGTCTCCAGTGTCAGCCAAGTGACAGCTGCAACCTTTCCACCTACCCCCACCCCATGCCTACAGCCACACTGCTGGCCTGCAACCCAGGAATTGGAAATGCCTTAAAGAGAAATATCAAGGGCTGAAGATGCATGCATGAGACCACGATTCAGAGAAAGAGACAGAGGAGAAGAGAAGCTGAGGATCCATGCAAGAAGCTCTGATTCAGGAGAAAGAGAAAAGAGGAATGGACAAGGGGGAAGAAGAGGGCAGCAGAGGGGAAAGAGGTCAAATAAAAAGAATAGAGACTTGAAATTTTAGTGGAAGGAAATAAAAGAAAAAGCAAAGTAAAGGCATATATAGGAAGGTAGCAAGTTGTTAGCCAGCCACACTCACCGCCAGACTTAGCTCTTCCTCTTCCCACTACTAATTTGACTTATTAACATGACCTGCCCCCCACAGCTCACTTCCTTATTCCCCAGGTAGGACGGAAAGAGGACTAGGCAGCACCATGTTTTTAATCAGGTTTACATTCCCAGAATTAAAGTGGTGAGGTCAGTTTCTGCCCCAGTGGGGTGGACTGCTAGCATCAACCTCACCCGGGATGCCAGGCCCAAAGGCAAATTCCTTGACTCCACACCACAGCCACTACATTAAAATCGCCTGGGTAAGGAGGGGACGGTTAACATGGTGCATTTGGGCACCACAAAGTTTGTTGCTTCAGTCCTTTTTATGTTAAACTGATCATGACAGAAAAGTTTCTATAATGCCAAATCCTTGATAGTTACAACTTAAATGTATGGTCATCTATACTTCCCTTTTTTATTCTATTCTCTGATTAAAAGTAATGGAAATTAACTGATTAGTGAATCATATGTATAAAAATAGGTGGTGGAACACACCTAGAACCCCAGCTACCTGGTGGCAACAGGAAGAACTAGATTTCAGGCCAGCCATGGCAAAGTTAGCTTGTGACTGTCTAAAAAACTAAATGGAAAAGGTGGCTCAAGAGGTAGAGCACCTGCCTAGCAAATGTGAGGTCCTGAAAAAGGCAATAGAAGATAGTGTAACTCAAATGTCACATTTAGACAATGGGTTGTTTTCTTATATGAAATTAAGATTTTCCAGAAATAGTTAGAGACAGGTGTTGATGGTTCACACCTCTAATCCCAGCTCCTCAGGTGACTGAGATCTAAGGATCACAGTTCAAAAGCAGCCTGAATAGGAAAGTCTGTGAAACACTTATGTCTGATTGATTAATCAGCAAAAAGCTGAAGTGGAACACAAGTGGTAGGAGCCTTGAGCAAGAGCACTGAGAAACAGTGCGTAGGCAGTGAGTACAAGCAAATCTATCTATCCATCTCTAAGCGGAATAAAGCAGAATTTAAAATGCTTATAAATCGTATAATATAGGTGGATTTGCATGAATCAATTTGTATATTTTTTTCAATGTTGCCATATAAAGTAACGCGCATTTTGAAAGTGTAAGTTACCTCTGAGTGTTTCACTATTGCTTCCAAGCAGAACATTTCCACCGTGGCCGAAGGAACATCTCCAAAGCTTTCAGCGTAGGGAAGCCCATTTCCTCCAAAGCACCACAAGCCTCCCTGAAACCAAGACAGGAAAACTGGTATGGGAAGTGACTAGCTACAGAATTAGAATATTCCAATAGGTAAAGGGACTCAAAATACTTTGGAAATTTAAAGAGAACTGTATGCAAAGTTCTGCTGTTTATTAGAACAGAAAATTCAAAGAATTATCTCCCAAAGAGAGAACACTGCTGTCCATTCTCTTCCGTATCTGCTCATGGGGAGTGTGAACACGGGTCAGCTCACGGTCTAAGCGTCTCTTCCAGCACCTCAGAATTCATTCTGTGGGTCACTGTCCAATCGTGCCCACAGAGTAGTCAGAAAGCCTAGTAACCAAAGTCCGAAAATAGAGACCATGATGACAGTGATCACTGAATCTGATTCTTCCCAAGCTGGAATTCAAGTTCATCCCTTTTTCTTTTTTCTGGAGTCCAAACACCAGTACCACCACTACCACCAAAAAAAAAAAAAAAGTAAAGAAAAAGAAATGCATAGGTAAACCAGGCACTGGTGGCTCACACCTGTCATCCTAGCTACTCAGGAGGCTGAGATCTGAGGGTCATGGTTCAAAGGCAGCCGGGGCAGGAAATGCCGGGAGACTCTTATCTCCAATAAACCACTAGGAAACCGGAAGTGGTTCTGTGGCTCAAGTGGTAAAGCACTAGCCTTGAGCTGAAGAGCTGAGGGACAGTGCCCAGGCCCAGAGTTCAAGCCCCCCCAACCAACAACAACAAAAAAAAAAGAAATGCGTAGGGAAAGTTGGAAAGAGTGACAATGTTTATAACAAGGATAAGACATAAAAATAAAAGGACTAATAAAAACAATGCACACAAGAAATTTTTAATCAGAAAGGAACTTAAATCTATATATTACTGTAGATATGTAGCTAAGAAATTTATGTCTCAGTTAATTTGCATTAACATGGAATTTTTAAAATAAGTGATTTAATATGAAATGGATTTTTTTGGGTAATATACATGATTGAATTCAGAACCTTACACTTGATAGGCAAGTACTCCACCTCTTGAGCCACACCCCCAGCTCCTTTGTTTTGCTTTTGAAATCATTTGAGACTCAGAGGCTTCAAACATTCGTCCTCCAGACTTGCCTTTTGGTTGTTCTTTCAGTGCTAGTGTTGGAACTCAAGGCCTTGTGCGTGCCAGGCAGTCACTCTACTACTAAGCCATGCTTCTAGCCCTGTTTAGTTCTGGCTGCTTTGAGCTACAGTCTCAATCCTGCCTGGAATCTCAAATCTATCTATTTTATGCTTCCTATCGCTGCTAGGATGACAGGCACACACCACTGTGTCCATTTCCTTCTACTGACATAGGAGTCTCACAGACCATTCTTCCCAGGTTGGTCTAGAACCTCACCGATGTAGGTTAGGTTAACAGGTATATGCCACTGCATCCAGCTATGGGTTGAGAAAGGGGTCTCATGGAACTTTTCTGCCAAGGCTGGCCTAGAACTACAGTCTTCCCATTCTTAGCCTCCCAACTATCTACTATCACAGGTATGAACCACTGTTACCCCATTCCATAGTGGCTATTCTTACCATCTAATCTGCATTCCAGTTAATTGTTAATTGTTAGGGTTACCTCCACTTTTGTCTCTGTCACACAAAAACATTGTGATTCACAATGGAGAGACCCCGTTTTCATTTAAGCCACATACAAGCTTGCACAGGCTAGTTCTTGGTAGTATTATGGTTTATCCACTCATCATTTGATACTTTCTCATTTAGGAACTATTGTATGAGGTAATACACTTGGTATTGGAGCGGTTACAGACTGCTGGAAAGCAATGAGAATGCTCCACAAAGCAAGCACTACAATTACCAAAGAGGATGGGTGCTATCAAGGCTGATACAGTACTGAACAGTGCAAAGACGAGGAAGAGTTGCTGAGGTGTTCCCACTGAGAGCTGAAGGATGAGGAGCAGCCATGCACCATGTGGTGAGCTGCAGGCAACAAGGCTCCAAGCAGAGGGATGGTAAGTTGATATACGTGCTCACATCAGGTTCAGGAATGAAGAGCAGGACAAGGAGGTAGGAAGGAAATATGTCTATAAATAACACTGCCCTGGACAAGCTGAAACTATCCGATGTTAGACATGCTAAATTGAGGCTTTTCCCTGACTTCCTGAAGAAAATGGAAGCTGAGCATAGTCAGGGAAACACAGATAGGAAACCTAGATAGGAAGTAACTGAGAATGGCAGGTCCAGAGTCTCTTGAATCTGACATCAATAGCACAAACAAAAGACAAAAAATGCAGTCAGGTCCAGTTATTCATGCCTGCAAGCTGAACAACCACAGCTTAAGACCACCCTAGGCAAAAAGTTAGTGAGACTCATCTCAATAAATAAGCCAAGCATAGTGGTTCATGCCCGGATCCAAGTACACAAGAGCCATAGGTAGGAAGATTGCAGCTCAAAGCCAACTTCAAGAAAAAATTTAAGACTCTACCTGAAAAACAAAGCAAAAAAAAAAAAAAAAAGAGTGACTGGGTCATAGCTCAAGTGACAGAGTGCCAGACTAGCAACTCAAGGCCTTGAGTTCAAACCCTAATACTGTCCCCCAAACAAAAAAGTGAAAAATACACTTCATAAAAATTGAGCCTGTAATCCTAAATATTGGGAAAGAGGGTTGAGGCAGTTCATGTTCAAAGTCAACTTGGGAAATTTAGCAAAAAAGAAAAAAGACCAAATTTATACTACCTCAATACCATAGAAAATCCAAGTGAAGAAAAAAATGACTAGAAAAGAGAACCTCCTGAGATAGCTAGAAGAAGCAACAGAAAAATTTCTTGGTGAAGAAAATTCTAGAATCCCTGGTATTTAGGATTCCTCTACAAAACAATCCATTAAGTCAGGGGTAGGCTTGCAGCCAAAAGGCACAACCCATGTAGAGAAGCAATCAACACCAAAGAATGAAAGCACCAACAGGAATTGTTCCCCGAAAGAGGAACCAATCTAAGAAGCTGAAAGACTTTAAATTCTGAGGGAAGTGAAAAAGAGAACAGAAGTCAAGATGAAGGAGCTGGACACTGTGGAGGAGTGACAATGACCATGAGCAGGTAGCTGACTAGCTGGATGTGGGAGGAAGGAATCGAGTGATTTTCCTGGTGTTTAGCTCAGTGACAAAATGGGTGCTCTGTTATTCACTGAAAAAAACAAAGAAGGATTTTGCAGGAGAGCAGACTGAACTTGAAGTTAGAATTCCTACTGTGTAGACACCATGTGGAAGCTGGATGTTAGCTACCATCTTAGACATCACCAGCATGTATGTGACACTGAAGATCTTGCAACTTACCATCTGTTCTTGTTTGTTGTGGTGCTCAGCATAGAACCCAGAACCTTGAGCATGTTAGGTGAACACTCTACCTCTAAGCCACATTGCAAGCCTTACAAATTCTTCAGTGTGCAATTGAAGCACATGAAGCTATAATGATTTTATAAACACAGTAAAGGGCTCTTGTAGGTACCACATGTCTCTTGTGTACTTTGGTGACACCTAGTCTGGTGCACAGCTCACAAGCAGAAGTCAGTATGCTTATTTAGTAACTTAGGGTGCTAAGTGCTACTCTCTGGCACAGTGTCTAGGAAAAAGGAAGCACTCAAACTTGGTACTGAAGGAATAAACAAGCCAACCTTCTGAGCAGCCAGACTCTGACTGCTCTCATTAAGAGCCAAGGATGTGTAGTATTGGATACATTCATCTAACTCCGTTTGAGGTAAGGAAGCCAACAACTGTCTCAGGTCCTCTTCAATGGAAGAATCCTGAAGTAAAAGGAAAAGAAAATCTTCAGAAACAGACTCCACAAAAAAAAAAAAAAAACCACCCGAAGACTCAAAGCCAAGATATGCACACACCCTACACATACATATACCTACAGTATACACTTGTGCAGAGAGAAGCTAGTACCTTGAAAACAGTTGCCCACCCAGGTAAATAACCATTCATTTTTCAGTTCTGTGCTCTTCTGTCTTAGAGGACCTATTGAAAGTTATTAAGTAATTTTTCAGCTTATGCATTTCTTGACAATTTGATTCCAAAGGAATTGTTATAGTATCTTCCTGGTTAAAACTCTTCTTAAAAAAAATCCAGAACTTGTTACTATCTCATTTTACCTGATAATCTATTTCCTGCATTTTACCTCTTCTCATTTTCAAAACCTGGCTGCTTACCAAGGCTTTAGACATTTCATTTTCTTTTTTTTTTTTTGTCGGTCGTGGGGCTTGAACTCTGGGCCTGGGCGCTGTCCCTCAGCTCTTCAGCTCAAGACGAGTGCTCTACTGCTTGAGCCATAGCACCACTTCTGGTTTTCTAGTGGTTTATTGGAGATAAAGAGGCTCACAGACTTTGCTGCCTGGGCTGGCTTTGAACCATGATCCTCAGAGATCTTAGCCTCCTAAGTAGCTAGGATTACAGGCATGAGCCACCGGCACCCAACTAGACATTTCATTTTCTAGTCTAAACAGAGTGCTAAAGAAACATGCACTAATTCTGCATGTCCCAGGAAACATTTATAGACATTTGTTATAACTAAGGTGGTACTGGCACCAGGGAGAAGAGTCCAGAAACACTGCCATCACAACCTACAATGTACCCAGAAACCTTCTCCAACCAAGCATTATTTGGCCCAAAATGTCAAGAGTGTTGATCTGATCTATGAAAGCTGATCATGAAAACCTAAGGGCTCAATTCGCAGATAATGGTGTGTGAGGGGGTCTCCCAGTGCTACACAAAGAGGCAAATGTTACCGCCACTGAGGAATGAATCAGTGCATGAAAGCAAAGATCACATTTTCATGACCTAGCTGACCTGCTGGTAAAAATTAGCCAGCAATTGCTTTCTGAAAGCTTAATTTGCACACAAGATAAAGATAATACACGGGACTGTTTTTTCACTCTCTAGATGATTTTATTTACTTACTTCTTTTAAAGATGGCAGAGGAGGTGGTGGGAGAAAAAAGCGGAGATCACTCTCCTTGCTGCGTGCCAGTCCGATGAGAGTTCTCGGGTCACAGGCTTGTGCAATGATCCTGTATTGGTAATCTGTTACAAAAGTATTTGTTTTGTTAACGTCCAAATTAGCTTATTATAGTTGCCACAAGGATCAAAGAAACAACTGAAAGCACTAAACCACTGTACAGTGTGTAATCCAAAGTTTCCCACGTAGTGTTTCACGGGTACATTCACACTGACAATCCCTTCAGAGCAAAGCCCAACAGTCCTTCCACTGAGGTCAACATTCACCTGGGGGCCAGAAGTTGGGGGTCTAAGAAAATTATTGAAAAACTGGAAGCTCAGATGTGACAGCTGGTGAGTCGAATCAATTTAACTTCTTCCATTTTAACACTTCCATTTCAGAGGCTGTTCCGATCGCCACTCAAAACACTGGAGACCGCAAGTCTACTACTGTCTGGTGGTGATGGGATGACATTTCAGCCCCAGTGATGTCCACGACTGCTAACACTCAGGTTCCAGGTAAAGATACTTGGATGTAAACATACCATTTGTCATGTGTCAAAAACAAAATTCTAACTGGAACTGGTGGCTCATACCTGTAATTCTAGCTACTCAGGTGGCTGAGACCTTAGGACTGTGGTTTAAAGCCAGCACGAGCAGGAAAGTCTGTGAGACTCTCATCTCCAAGTAACCAGTATAAAGCCAAAAGTGCAAGTGTGGCTCATGGAGTAAAGTGAACAAAGAAGCTAACCAAGAGTATGGTGCCCTGGGCTGGGAAGGTGGCTCAGTGGTAGAGCACTTGCCTTGCATGCTTGAGGCCCTGGGTTCGATTCCTCAGCACCACATAAGCAAAAAAGAAAAAAGCCGGAAGTGGCGCTGTGACTCAAGTGGTAGAGCGCTAGCCTTGAGCTGAAGAGCTGAGGGACAGCGCCCAGGCCCAGAGTTCAGACCCCACGACCAGACCCCCCCCAAAAAAGGAAAAAAAGAGTATGTATGATGCCTTGAGTTCAAACCCCAGAACTGGCACATACATGCACACGTGTACACATACACACACACACACACACACACACACACACACACACAAATATCCAACTGCAGAAGCAAGCTTTCTTTTCAATAATACCAGCTCTTAACCTACATGAACATTTTAGGATTAATTAGGTAGAGATCTTTTCAGAATCTACATGCAAGAACTCCTCCTGGTTTTTCTGATACAGTAAATCTACAATGGAATTCCGGAAAGAAGATTTTTGTAAGAAAGATTTTAAGTCTCAACTAAGTTTAAATGCGTTTATATTTTATTATAAATTTTTACCATTGTCTTTACCAACAAATTATTGAATTGATTTGTCTCAGATGAGATTTAATTTTTTTTTTCAAAAATTCTTCTCATTGGGTGCCGGTGGCTCATGTGTGTAATCCTAACTACTCAGGAGGCTGAGACTGATGATCACAGTTGGAAGCCAGCCTGGGCAGGAAAGTCCATGAGACTCTTATCCCCAATAAACTATTCAGAAAAAGCCAGAAGTGGCGCTGTGGCTCAAGTGGTAGAGTGCTAGCCTTGAACACAGACACTCAAGGACAGTGCCCAGGCCCTGAGTTCAGGCCCTAGTCCTAACAAAAACAAAAAATTCTTCTCTAATGTTGACCTTTTATCTTTCCATTGTGAGATCTAACCCAGGGCCTCACACATACTAGGCAAGTGCTCTACCACTAAGCTATGCTCTCAATTCTATCAATTAGTTTTACAAGATGAAGATTCCACTAAAAAATTACAGTTCAGAGCAAGTACTAAAATTAGAGTAGCTTTTATTCAAGTACTTTAACTGAAAAGCTAAGATTTTAAAATATAACTAAGTATTTTAAAATACTCCTTTAAAATATTTTTATATTTCACTGACATCTTTTAAAAGTATTTTAATATACTCCTTAAAAACATATATATGATGCCGGGCGCTGGTGGCTCATGCCTGTAATCCTAGCTACTCAGGAGGCTGAGATCTGAGGATCTAGGTTCAAAGCCAGCCCGGGCAGGAGAGACCGTGAGACTCCTATCTCCAATAAACCACCAGAAAACCGGAAGTGGCGCTGTAGCTCAAGTGGTAGAGCGCTCGCCTTGAGCTGAAGAGCTGAGGGACAGCGCCCAGGCCCAGAGTTCAAGCCCCAGGACCGACAAAAAAAAAACAAACATATATATGCATGCTTTCCACATACTTAGCTAATGATCAGTATTAGAGCCAGGAGAGTGAAAGAAAATATAACCGAATATAGTACATCAAGCAATTAAACATATTTCATTAGTGGGAGACAAAAGAAAATGAAAGGAAAACACTAGAATTAATGAACTTCTCTGGAGGAAATAAAAATTCTTTTTGGTAGAAAGTTGCATAAATATATATACACATGCCTCAGTTGTTTTTTTTTTTTTTGTCGGTCGTGGGGCTTGAACTCTGGGCCTGGGCGCTGTCCCTCAGCTCTTCAGCTCAAGGCGAGCGCTCTACCACTTGAGCTACAGTGCCACTTCCGGTTTTCTGGTGGTTTATTGGAGATAGGAGTCTCACGGTCTCTCCTGCCCGAGCTGGCTTTGAACCAGGATCCTCAGATCTCAGCCTCCTGAGTAGCTAGGATTACAGGCGTGAGCCACCAGCGCCCGGCTACATATGCCTCAGTTTTGAAGCTGCTCTTACCAAACAAACCTGGAGCTGCTTCTCAAATTTCTGGACGAGTTTTTAATACATATCAAGACTGTGACTTATTTCCTTTCCTTAGTCTCATCCCTTCTCTTACATGAGACATCAAGAGCTAGCTGAGGGCGCACGGCTCCGCGGCTCATTACCGTGCCAGTGGTGGGTGTCCGACATGTCCTGCACAGCCTCCAGTCGTGTGGTCCTGTCGTCTGCCTGGCTCTTCCTCAGGAGTAGCCACATGGCGCACTCATGGTCTTCTAAGTCAACTGTGCTAAAGGTGCCTGAGAAAGGAGACGATCCAAGAACATGACAAATAAGCAGTGAAAGGAGTCTTTTTATCCTTCATTTTAGGTGATTTATAAATATTTAGGCCTACAATAGCAATTTAAATCCATAGGTAGATATTGGTAATAACCAGTATGCTTGATCTTATCTCTAGCAGATTCCTTGTTCACACTGGCTCTATTATGTATACATGGGGTTTTTTTGCTTGTTATTGTTGTTGTTGTAGTTTTGCCAGTCCTGGGGGCTTGAATTCAGGGCCTGGTCACTGTCCCTGAGCTTTTGCTCAAGTTTAGGCTCTACTACTGTAAGCCACACCACAACCTCTGACTTTTTCTGAGTAGTTTATGGGGAATAAGAGTTTCATGGTCTTTCCTGTTCAGGCTGGTTTCAAACCACACTCCTCAGATCACAGCTTCCTGAGTAGCTAGGATTACAAGTGTGAACCACTGGCACCTGGCTGTATATGTGCTTTTGCTTTATATATTATGTTATCTTTCTCTAGATAGGGTCTTTTTTTCTTTCTCCCTAAAAAAATTGTATTTTAAAAGAAATAGAATACACTAAAAGTTGGAAGGACAACGTACTAGCAACCAAATGCTTATCACGTCTCCATCCAATAGTTGTCATTCTGCCATATTTACTTCATCTATAGGCATGTAAGTGCAAAAGGTATGAAAGGAAGCTGCAGATCTAATGACATTTTACCCTTTCATGGCTCAACCAGATTCCTCAGAACAACTCTGTGTTGTCTCACATATAATCAGTGTAATTATCACACCCAAGAGTATTAACAAATCATCTAAAATCCAGTCTAAATCCTATTCATATTTTACTCAGAAATACCTCTACAGACTATTTAAAAACATGATTTGATCAAATCTCTTTAATCTCTTTGATTCTAGAAAATTTGCCCACCTACTCTTCATGCCAGCTTTTTAAAGAGATCCGGTCAGCTTTTTTTTTTTTTAATAGCTGTATACTATAGACTGTAGACATAATAGTCTCCTTATGTGAAAGATTGAGTAAATTTTCTGAATTTATTAGAAAATATTTAAGCTCAATATTTATTATCTATCACTCAAAGATGAAAGAAACCGGTCTAAAAATAAGCCCTTAAAACTAAATACAGGGCTGGGAAGGTGGCTCAGTGGTAGAGTGCTTGCCTTGCATGCATGAGGCCCTAGGTTCGATTCCTCAGCACCACATAAGCAGAAAAAAGCCGGAAGTGGTGCTATGGCTCAAATGGTAGAGCGTTAGCCTTGAGCTGAAGAGCTGAGGGACAGCGCCCAGGCCCAGAGTTCAGGCCCCACGAGGACAGAAAAAAAAAACTAAATACAGCTCAAGAGACTAATGCTGGTTAACTTCCCAAAGATATTAAGAGTATTACTATAAGACATTAAAAATTCTTAGATTGGTCATTTAAGTTACTTCTAGATTCTGCTGAGGATTAAAGTTACCTTCTGAGACTTACCAGCAAATGGATTCCGTAATATCTTGGCTGATGCTGCTAATACTTTTCTTACTGCTTTGTGAAGTTCTTTTCTTGCCTGCCAGACAATCCCTAAAATGATAGCAAAGTTTCATAAAACCTAGACAATACTTTTTAAAGATTCCTTTGCTTTTTTCCTTCTGTTTCCACCTATCTCTCTCTTTCTCTGTCCTTCGCTTCCCTTCCTCTTCCTTTTTCTCTCTCCCTCTTGCCCTTTTTCTTGGTGGTACTAGGGATTTGAACTCAGGGCCTCATGCTTGCTAGACAGGTGTTCTATCCCTTGAGCCACACCCCGGTCCTTTTTTCTTTAGTTGTTGTTGAGATATAGTCTCTTTTATGCCTAGGCTGGCCTGGATAGCAATCCTTTTATTGAGGCTTCCCACATAACTAGGACACCAGGTGTATGCCACCATACCCAGCTTTCTATTGGTTGATAGAGGACCTCACAATTTTTTGTCCTTGCTGGTCTGTGAGCCATAATTCTCCCAGTCTCAGCTTCCTCAGTGGGTAGGATTACGGTATGAGCCAAATATGTACTTTTAATAAAGCTATTAAAAAGATGTAACAATAATCCACATGACTAGAATTACAAAGACAGGCTGAAATACAAACAGGTACTAGAAGAATAAATACAAACGGATTATTGTGGCAGTATGGGAGCAGGCACAAGTTGGCGGTCATAGGAGCAGACAGCTGGCAGTCAAGTGTGGTGAGTCAGCTACCCATAGCTGATGAAAATATCCACCTCTGCTCTAAAATGTCTTGTTCATATGTGCGACCTCAATATTGAGAAAGGGAATGTCCTAACTAGTGAAGACACTGATTGTGACAGATTATGGCAATAAGCTGGTATTCATATTTATGAATCTATCTCAAGTTTGGTTTGCGTGAATTACTCCTGTAAAGTAGAAATATCTTTGAGCTAAATGACAAAATCATGATTTTTGGACAGACACCAATGAGAAGAATTCCATTTCAGCCAGCCCCTGGTTCTGTGTATTCTAGGACAGTTGCAGTTTGTAAAATACAGAAATCCAAAATGTGATCATCTATTAATGCTTTAGGAATGTGCTTGGGATTTCTTTGAGTTAGTTATGACATTAATACTGTGTTTTAAAGAGTCTTATTTTTCAATTCAATAACTAGCTTCTGTTTTTTTCTTTTTCAGAAAGATGAGCTTCTTTTACAATAAACTTACCATGATTTTCTGGTTTGTTTAAAGGAGCTGTATGCACATATATATATGACTTCATTTTTTCTTTTTCTACCACTTCAGTATCTAATGTCAATGACTTCTTCAGGGCCAGAACTTCATATGTAAAGCATAAAGAACCTCTTAAAGAAGAAACAGAATATTCATCATAAATTGAGGACCCAAATGTCGCCTAAGAGCTTTTCATAGTAAACTCCTTTCTTATTGTAAATGTAATATACAATAATGTGCAAAGGATGCTTACACACACACACACACACACACACACACACACCTGTTTAAAATAATAGCAAACAGCAGCATGATCATATCCAGGCAAGAAACAGAGCATTAAGAGTGCAGAGGCCCATAGTGCAGCTTTTCAAGATCCTCACTCATCCTCTCTTTTTTTTTGGGGGGGGGGTCAGTCATGGGCCTTGAACTTTGGGCTTGGGTGCTGTTCCTGCGCTCTTCAGCTCAAGGCAAGCACTCTACCCCTTGAGCTACAGCACTACTTTCGGTTTTCTAGTGGTTTATTGGAGATAAGAGTCTCACAACTTGGGGCTGGGAAGGTGGCTCAATGGTAGAGCGCTTGCCTTGAATGCATGAGGCCCTGGGTTTGATTCCTCAGCCCCACATAAGCAAAAAGAAAAAAGCCAGAAGTGGCACTATGGCTCAAGTGGTAGAGTGCTAGCCTTGAGCTGAAGAGCTGAGGGACAGCGCCCAGGCCCAGAGTTCAGGCCCCATGACTGGACCAAAAAAAAAAAAGAGTCTCACAACTTTCCTACCTGGGCTGGCTTTGAACCTCGATCCTCAGATCTCAGCCTCCTGAGTAGCTAGGATTACAGGCGTGAGCCTCACTCATCCTCTCTAGTCTAACTAGTAATTATAGTAATGGCCTTGCTCCTCTTTACAGTTTTACCATCACATATGCACATTATACAATTTTGTATCAGTGCAGTCACCCTACATGTATTCTTTGGCTCAGTCTTTTGTTTGTGTTATATCCATGCTATTGCATTAAAGGTAGCTCCTGAATTTTTATTTTGATTTGGTAAGTGATTCACTCACCATATCAATATATCAGAGCTTAGTTACTCACTCTAACAGACATTTATGATGGTTCTACTTTGAGTCAACTGTAAATAATCCTATTACAAATCTATATTGTATACAGGTGTAAATATTCTTTTACATACTTATCTAGAAGCGGAATTAGATACTTTCTGACAGTACATATATTGGCCAACTATAAAGATAGTATCAAGGGGCTGGGAAGGTAGCTCAGTGGTAGAGTGCTTGCCTTGCATGCATGAGGCCCTGGGTTTGATTCCTCAGCACCACATAAGCAGAAAAAAAAAAGCTGGAAGTGGGTCTGTGGCTCAAGTGGTAGAGCCCTAGCCTTGAGCTGAAGAGCTGAGGGACAGTGCCCAGGCCCAGAGTTCAGGCCCCACGACCGGACCCAAAAAAAAATTAAAAAAAAAATAGTATCAAACTTTTTCTCAATAAGATTAGCCAATTAATTGTAACATCAGCAGCATGTCAATTTCTCCTTTTCTAAGAAGTATATTTAAAGTCTGCTTAAAATGTGAGACATGGGGCTTGGAAGGTAGCTCAGTGATAGAGTGTTTGCCTTGCATGTATGAGGCCCTAGGTTCGATTCCTCAGCACATAAGCATAAAGCCAGAAATGGCACTGTGGCTCAAGGGGTAAAGCGCTAGCCTTGAGCTGAAGAGCTGAGGGACAGTGCCCAGGCCCAGAGTTCAGGCCCTACAACCAACAACAACAAAAAAAAAGTGAGACATAACCAGGCGCTGGTAGCTTACATCTGCAATTCTATCTTCTCAGAAAGCTGAGATATGAGGATCACAGTTCAAAACAAGCCTGGGCAGGAACGTCTGTGAAACTCTTATCTCCGATTAACCACCAGAAAACTGAAGTGGCACTGTGGCTCAAAGTGGAAGAGTGTTAGTCTTGAGAGAAAGAACCCAGGGACAGTGCCCAGGCCCTGAGTTCAGCTCCACACAACCAGCGGGAGGTAGAGGGTGTGTGAAAGGCACATGTTTACCCTTTGCCCTGAGAAGTCATCTAAATATGCTTTGCCTTACATTACAATGTCATGAAGAAATGCATGGAGTTGGATAAAATGCATGAGTTGATTTTATATTTATACTAGTGAAACCAAGTGTTAGCAAATATAGTAGTGTTAGATATATACTTCACATACGTATCCTCACTCAGAAAGGAATAAAGAATGAAAACTAGTTACTAGAAATAGGGTCACTGCACAAATACAACAGATGTCAGTATGTTTTCTCTGACAGCCTCGATTTTCTTTCAGGACAGCTTTGCGGTGCTGTAATGAGGCAGACTTTCCTGGCACCCGCTGTGACTCCAGGAGGCTGACGGAAGGCAGTCGCGCGTGGCCTTCACACCAACAGAGTAATCAGAGGGTAAAATCCCCAATGCACATTTGGGCCCAGAAAAGCATTCCTCAGAAAGCAGAGTGTCTGGATCAAAATAACCTGAAGTAGGAGAACCAGTCATTAAACCCGCATCCTTTAGCTTCTCCCGGCTACCTAGTGGTCACTTCCTTGAGATTTTGGATAATATAATGAAGCCAAGAAATAGTCAGCAGAAGACGCTTACCCTAAAATAAGGGATCCAGTCAATTTTATTATATTTCCTGCAAAAAAGAAAGAAAAAGTCAGTGGGATGAAATTCATTTTCAAAAATGTGTCAGGTAATAGGCAATAGTGTCTTTCATATGTATTTGGGTAAAAATTCTGATTATTAATGTAATCTATTGTCATCAACCCATACTCTCATTTTACAAATATAGACAACAGAGCTTAGAGCAGGCAGTTATCCCATTCTTCCATTCACCAAATATGATTTGAAGAGCCTCTGTATGGCACCGACAACAGTAATAGAGCCAGGGATGAACAAGACACTGCCCTCACGGAGTTCAGAGTTCATGAGAGATACCAGATAATTAACCAAGCCATATCTGGACTCTATTGAATGACAAGTGACAGATCTAACCTGGCTGAGAGTTCCCGAGAAGTTTCTTGAGAGAGGCATGGCCACAGTCTGGGGTAGATGAGGCAGATCACAAGCTCAGTAAAAAAGACAAAGTGGTGCTGTGGCTCAAAGTGGCAGAGTGCTAGCTTTGAGCAAAAGAGCTCAGGGACAGCACCCAAGCTCTGAGTTCAAACCCCACAATCAGCAGGAAGAAAAGAGTCATAGTTTACCCCTTGCTCACTCTCTATTTCTAGAACCTGACAGAGATGTATGACATCTTACCCTGTTTTGCAAAAGCTTAATAAATAAGAATGCAGTGATATTTACATTTATAAGTACGAATTTGACAGGAAAAAATGGGAGAAGAAAGAACTTCCAAGAAAAACAATCATGTCTGGCTCCCGGCTTAGAAATTTAAGGTAAACCACTAGTATAGAGGGTTTAGAAGGTGGCTCAGTGGTAGAATGCTTGCTTTGTATGCATGAGGCCCTGGGTTCGATTCCTCAGCACCACATAAGCAAAAAAAAGTCAGAAGTGGTGCTCTGGCTCAAGTGGTAGAGCGCTAGGCCTTGAGCTGAAGAGCTGAGGGACAGTGCCCAGACTTGGAGTTCAGACCCCACAACCGATATTAAAAAAAAAAAAAGGAGACTTACCATAGGTTTAAGTTTTTGTGGTCCAATGGGGCCTGGAAATGTACACATACTTCCATCACTGTCTCTCTTAGAAAATGTTATAATTAAGCTGTACTCACGGATATCTTTCCAGTATGTTGTGTGGCTTTTTGGCAGGGGAGCAGAGGTCCCTATTCTTCTGCAACACAGGACACAACAAGCGCCCACGGACATCCTGCAGACAGGGGAACGGGAACAACCTGATTGTGCATCTAATTGCAAGTGCTTCTCTGAATTATAAGAACATGTGACCATCCCAGTGATTGTCTACTGAGTTAGATTTTTTTTCAAGAAAAAGGTTTCAGTTAAAACAAAATTTCTCCTTAAAAAAAAAAAAACTTAAAACAACTGGGCATTGGTGGTTCATGCCTGTAATCCTAGCTACTCAGGAAGCTGAGATCTCAGGATCGTGGTTCAAAGCCAGCCCGGGCAGGAAATTCCCCAAGACTCTTATCTCCAACTAATCACCAGAAAACCAGAAGTGGCGTTGTGGCTCAAGTGGTAAAGCACTTGCCTTGAGCTGAAGAGCTCAGGGACAGTGCCCAGGCCCAGAGTTCAAGCCTCACAAAGAAAAACAAAAATAAAAAAAAATAGATTTATGAGAATAAATTACTGGGTGCTTTAATTATTGTTACTCAAATTGCATCCAATCGTGAAAGTTAATTAATTGGAAGCTAGAAAAATACAGGTTAATAATCAGAATACCAATATAGACATTTAAATTCTTAATAAAAATATAAGATACACCTTTTAATACACACAAGCATATATAATACATATTTATCCTTGATGACTGAAGGTCCTACGCAGGGAGAGGGCCGTTGGGATATTTATAATAAAGGGCTATACAAAATTAGAATACAAGTAGCTGGGCTACAGCCAGCCACGGAGATGCTCACATCTCTATCATGTCAGGAAGCAACTGATTCTGCAGGCCTCAGGTGGCCTGTGGGATGGATATGCCCACAAACATGCCCTACAATTGTTGCCCTGCAAACATGAAGAGATGCTGGAGAACCCATTTACATCTCATAGAGGTATTTAGCTTTTCTCTAACTCCTTCAGGGTAGCGCAGGACATTGTTTCAGAATTTTTAAAATTTAAGTGTTGGCATCCCATTCCAAAAACCTGTCGTCAGTGAATTCAGCTAAGCAAAGCTGCTCTAAATATGATGCAGTCATTTCTATAACAACGCAGAATTCTAGAATCCTATCAGATTGTCTTTGGAGACTGAGACTTTTTACTACAAAGGAAAGGAAGGACGATGCTTGAAGGGATGATGTGAGAAATGGTCCCTTGGTTTAACATAGTAAAGGTTACTGGCAGCTTTACCCAGGTTGGGGAAAGTTACTTGCATGAGCTTTTACATTGTTTAATTGTGATTCCATCCATCAACTGGTGACTAAGCAAATTATTTGAGCAACAGGTAAACGTGTGAAGGTTACTGTTTTAAAGGTCATTCTTTTAAATTTTCTTGTTTAATATGTTGCTATTACTTGTCTGTGAGACTTAAATACTTGTGAAAATTAAATCAAGACTGAAACAAAGTAAGTGCTCAGAAAACCAAGGCAAAGCTGTATACAGACTTGTTTGGTTCTTGGAGAATGCTGTGCTAAAAATGCAGAGTAAATGAATGCACTGCTCTTTCGACCCTAACCCGGGCTATGAGAGCCGCTGACCGCATGCAAGGCCTTTCCCAAATCTCCTTTATGGGTAGCTCTCTCCCTCTCTAACTCCGATGACACCCTGACTTCTGGCTTTATTCTCACCTCTAGGATCACCCTTCCTCATTATTCACTCAGGAAATATTTACTGACCATCAGGGACAAGAACATGAGACATGTACACGTCAGCAGAGCCTCCGGCCTTCACAGACCTTAAAGCCTGGCTCTGCAGGGGCCTCCACTAAACTATTAATACATTACTTTTCCGATAGGGCCCTTCCGTGTGCCTCGGCTTTTCTCAGGCTACACTATTTGGCTAAGTGATTGCAGTATGTTTCTCATAGAACTTTCCCTGTAAGTTTATGATTCTCAAATCTCCGCAAGTATCAGATTCATGTACTTATATCTCTAGAGGGTTTTTTTTTGTTTTGTTTTTAAGTACATCAGATATCAAAACACAAGAATATTCTTTGTGCTCTGGCCTACAGAGAAGTTTCAAATTTTATCTCTGCCACACCAAACTGTTTCCAAAATGTTGGATTCCAAGAACCATGAGGACATGGTGAATTCAACCTCACAATGAAATGGGTTTAGAATCCCAGTTTCCACATTTTCATGCTCCTTTCAGTTAGTCTAGAAAGAGGAAATTTCCTGGCCCCTATGTCCTTGAAGTTGTGGTTCTTCAAAACCATCAGATGCACGGTTAAAGCTAAAGCTGACATTAGATTTACATGCGCGGTAAGAACAAAAGTTCTGAGAGCTCTATAGTTTCCTCAACATTCCCCTCAGTGTCATGACCTCTGTCCTCTTTTCTTCCTCGGAAATCTTCTATTACATTTTACCTAAAGCACTTCATGTGTAGGGAAGGAGTTAGCAGAGCTGCTTATATTCTCTTGAACAGGTGATTCCTGACAAAATCTGTAAGCATTTCTTAAAAATTTGGTCTCTGAGCTAGGCTCTAGTGGTTCACATCTATAATCCTAGATACTCAGGAGGCTGAAATCTGAGGATTATAGTTCAAAGCCAGACTGAGCAGGAAGGTCTGAGACTCTTACCTACAATACCCCAAAAAGCTAGAAGTGGAGTTGTGGCTCAACTGATAGGGTGCTAGTCTTGAACACAAAAGCTCGGGGACAGTGCCCAGGCCCTGATTTCAAGCCTCACAACACACACACACACACACACAAGTCTCAGGCCCTGATTTCAAGCCTCACAACACACACACACACACACACACAAGTCTCAGGCCCTGATTTCAAGCCTCACAACACACACACAC